GATGCATTGGCCGCCGGGCCTAAAAACGGAATTTGAAAGCACCAAAGCCGGCGACCTGTCTATGTGTGTCCACCCCTGGACAAAGGGTTCTAAAGCACTAACGGTTTCAGCCACCTTTCACCGGAATCCCACTGGAAGTCACTTGCACATCCACCGAATCAATGGCCGCCGGGCCTCACCACGGTACTCCCTCAGTCTACAGTGATTGCATTCTTTCGGCATGATCTTCATGTTGCTGCTAAGTATTCACATGTCCATGTCATGCTGCTAAGTATTCACAGGCCGGACAGGCCTCCCTGCCCCTGGGCCTCTGTTGCTATCCCACCCGCTAATCGAGCAACAGAAGGAAATCGCACTCAACACACTTGTGTGTTGGTGCCTTTCCTTCTGTTTCTCCTATCTATTGCCAGCTACCCGAGCGGTCTAAGACCAGAGTCCCGCTCGCGAACTACTTTCATTTAACTAAGTTGGCCTCGTCACTATACCTATCTTTCCTTCTTGCCCTCTTAGTCTGCTCTTGTTTTGTTCTCTTTGTCTGTCTTTCTAAGGCTTTTTAGGTGACTAGTAGTCTTCCGGAACGCCAATATTGGCGTTATGTGTACAAAGTTGTTGCCAGCAGACCGCTACTAGGAGCAAAGACGGTACTACTATAGGGGCCTCTGACCGTTTTTTTGCAAAGAAAACGGCGCCGACTACGGCAATTTGTGTGTGTCACCCCCTGTTCCGAAGGGACCACCGAGTTTCGAGTCACAAAGGACGCTACTAAGGCCCCCCGGTTTCGCTACTAAGGGCTCCTGGTATCGCTATTAGCGCGCAGCTTGTCAATTGTTTAACATGTTCAAAGCGCACAAAAAGAAGCAGGGGGCCACTCCACCCACCACCAGGGAGTGGCCAACGAAGAGCCTGGTGGTGTGGTGCTGAAAACGTACCTGCATTTTTTCCAATTTTAATTTTTAAGTGCGTTTGGAAAACCATGTTCAACCATACTGTTTCAGCTGACTTTTCCACCTTGCGGTTCTTCGCCATCCTTCCCATCGTGGTAACTGAGTTAACTGAATACAATTGTCAGAGTGTGTGTGTGTGGTTTCTTTTGATTTTTTTTGCGTCTGATCATTTTGGAGGATTACTGTAAGTCCTGCATAGGGAACACCCCAGGACTGTTAGGTCAAAGACCGAGGGAGGCGGCGAGATTCTGAGCTTCTAGTTTAGGAAGTCAACGGATCAAAGGGAAATACCCAAATCCAAGATTCCTGACTTTGGGCAGGAGGCTTGGACCATTTGGGGGTTGTTGGCTTGGGGAAGACATCGTGTTCGTCGCATGCCCCACGCCGGAGACGTGCGATGGGTGCCGGCACCGAAGGCAGTGGTACAGAGTGACCTCTTCATCGTGAGGCAGGCAAAGCTCCAAGTTTTGAGAAGAATTCCTATTGGTTTTGAAGATGAAGCGTGCACCTCCTGGTGTAGTGGCGGGAAGTTTGACTTCTACTGAATCTGAATACCACTGAATGACACCCCTCAAAATATTGGCCAGAACAAGGTTTCGTGACGAATCATACCTTCAAATCATCGATGGTGCCCGACTACAATCATCCCAGCCCGACTACGGTAAAAACACACATCAGTTATTAAAAATTAACCTGTGAATTATGTTCAAACATGATATCCCTGCCCCTTGTTTCAAACATGATATCCCTGCCCCTTGTGTTCAATCACCAATGCCATGCCATAGAGTCATACCCATCAGAAGAAGTGGCTTTCAGAGAGACCTCAGGTGCTTGGATAACATCCTGAGCCTCATCTTCAAGGAGGACGAGTGGCACATGCTGGAAAGATGCCATGAAAGCCAGCATGGGTGATCAATCAAGGATACGCATTGTGCCTACAAAACTGAACACCGGGGCACATTTTTACATGTTTTTCGACGTTGGTCATGTCATGGCATGGTGCCATGGCATGTCGACGCGGCGGTAATTTGCGTCGTTGACTCGCAAGTCTGGGACATTGACTGATTCAGCAACGAACCGAATCAGCAACTACGATTCAGCAACTATGCAAATCAGCAACCATGCTTCAGTGACTCTCGGAATCAGCAACCACGCATCAGCAACCAAACAGTACGATTCAGCAATCACGCATCAGCAACCAAACAGTACGATCCAGCAACCACGCTTCAGCCGCTACACGATTCAGCAGCCACGCTTCAGCCACTACGCGATTCAGCAGCCAAAATTACCGATGCAGGTACGGTTCAGGCACGCTGTGCCCATTCGCTCGCCCTGTTCGTCTTGTTTGTGAAAAAGAGATGAACGCAGAGCTTGACTGGGGAGCAAACGCATGAAACACGTGGACATGGGCTGTGTCACGAAAAAGCCTTTGTCTCAAGCAATGCACAAAGAACAACCTATTGAACAACCTATTGTGTTGTCCGATGCGTTTGACATGACAAGCCTGAAAAATGGGTATGGTTTCCAATCTGTACGGCTGTTTGTGGCGTTTATTTGCCTATGGGAAGTTGTCCCTCGACCAGTTTGGAATGAAAGGGTTTTGATCCCAGGATCTCTGAGTGAAGCACCAGCTTGGTGAGAATAGGCCCCAAGCCAGTTCTCAAACCAGAGAGTGTAGCAGCAGTGCGATGGCCTCACAAGTACATTGTAATGGCTTAGTAACACTGTTCTCAAATCAGGGGTGGAGAACTATATCAAGCTGTGAAACTGCCAGAGGTCGCCATCTCAGTCTATGACCGCAGACATCTCTCATACCCCCCACTATTTGCAGACATTTGTTCGGTTTCGGAGTTGCTTCTCCGAATCTCTCCAGGAAGGCTTTTCCATGGCCTGGGCCATTGATGAATTCGAGAAGACCGTGTCCACCGAGTTGGACTTCCGCGAAGAAGCCCAACATGCAGGCGACCACGTAGTGCGCGGTGGTGGGCCGGGCCGAAAGACGACATGCACCGATGCGGAGGACTTTGGGTGAGACCTAAGGCTTGGACACCATCATGGCATGGCACCATCGTTCCATAACCATTCGGCAAGACGGTGGACCTTCAACCCCAACATATAGTATTATACAACATAATTATAGTAACTTATTCATTTGCCCCCATGTGAGTAACGGACTATATATATAATGTATGAGGATAATATATATAAACTCGTACTCAAATATTCTCAGCATCCCATCCACAAGTGCCCATTCCAGCAACTTGCCAGATCGTTGCCGCGCCTTCTTCCGTGCGCATCGTGGTAGCGGAAAGCTTCGCGGCGGGCGCATCGTGGTGCCCGGAATTCACCACGACCTCACAACGCAGCGGGTGCTGGTCATGGACTTCTCCCGCGGGCTGCCCATCGCGCGGCTGACTGCCGCGGTGCGGAAGTGCCGCGAGGGAGGAACGACCGAGTTGACCTGGGAGGAGGAAAGAGCTGCAGAGGCGCGGCTGATGGCAGGAACTGTGAACGCAGAACAGGATCAATCCAAGCGTGGGGGGTTTCTTAACTTGGTGTAGGAATTCTTCCCTGGAGCGTCAGGCTGAGCCTAAACCCTCCAGTGTCTCACAGTGCTACCTTAAAGATCCTCGAAGACCGTTGTGGCCACCCATCACTAATTGCAGGAATTTGGGGGATGCCTCGTTAGTCATTCTGTGCCTGGACAACAATGCCACTGAGGGGTTAACTCTGTACAGTGGACAGCTGGTTAATGTGTTTCAACCGCCCAAGCTGTGTGCCTGCTCAGGCCCATATGTTTTTGACCACCCAGACGGGCAAAGTGAGACATCTTGGGAGTCCAAACGACTTGTGGTCTATGCCCATACTGGGCTACTTCCTGTCGCCCATACCAGCTACCATCTTCCATACCACCTGTGGGTTTCCACCCCACCGGCACTGCCGTGCCGCGCTGAGGCGGCGCCCGAGGCCGCGCGGCTTCTGGCCGAGGCCTTTGGGGCCATGTGCTTCTCAGAGGGCTTCCTGCATTGCGACCCGCATCCAGGGAACCTCTTGGTGGAACTTCCGCAGGTGACGGATGAGAGAGGCTTGGGAGGGTGGCGGGTTGTGCTATACTCATCATGCTGGAGAATCCGCTGCATACATTCTTTCTCTCTCTTCCCCGGAAGCAGTGTGGTGAAGAAATGATTTTCAGCCACTCCTTGCAGATGTTTGCGTTCCTCGGATCTGCCGCCAGGCCGCCGAGGCAGCTGCGTCATCTGTGCGGCTGGTGATTCTGGATCATGGGTTGTACTGCGAGCTCTCCAACGATCGGCGGCAAGCGATGTGCGAGCTGTGGGAGGCCATGATCCTACAAGACTCGAATCAGCTGACACTCGGCGGCGCGCGAGATCGCGACGCGGTAGGCGCAGGGGCAACGATAGCTCCTCACTTTCTGAAGTTGCTCAGAACAGCCGCGTTCCTTCGCCGGATCGCCCAGGATCTCCAGTAGCCACCGGCTGGGGATTGATGAGGCCACCGCCGAGTTGCTCCCGCTGTATTTCACCAATCGCTCCATGTCGACCTATGCAGGTGAGGGACGCACGCGGCGAGGGACGGGGCTGGCTCCAATTCCAGGAGGGTTTTCGCAGGGCATCAAGTTCATTGGGTCCAATGAGATTCTGTATCACTTACTGTAGATAGGTTTTCAAAAGGCAGGTGAACTTTGTAGTTGAGCTTATTGGTAAACAAAAGTGAGACCCGGAGCAAGTCAGAGGAACACGAACAATAAGACGCCTGATCTGTCTATCCCAACACCCTGCCAACTAGCCATCACCCCCCTTCCATGGCAGGCCTGGGGCAGCCCATCACACTTGAGGAGAAGGACAGATTGAAGCAGCAGCTCCTGGAATCAGGTGGCCACCGGGCGGGAGAGCGACGACATCGGTCTGGTCATGGCGCAGTGCTGGGTGCTAGGCCAGCAAAAGCACGGTTAAGCACTATCTCGTTGGGGCTTTTTGATCTTCTTGCTGGGTCTCTTTCAGGAGTACTAAATGATGCTGGATATGCTAGGATGACTGTCATCCTCCTCGCCGCATGGTTTTGTCAGGATTTCCGGACCCCGGCAGGTTTGCAGCATGGCTGTTGCCCACAACCCCAAGGTACAATATAGGTAACAATTCACAATTTGATCGTGCATTTCCCATGCAGCACATCAAAAAAATCCATCTGAGAACCTTGGATTTGGATCTTGCGGAAAGTGTGCTCCAAGATGGGCTTCCAGAGAACTAGTGAAGCTGCTAGTGACTAGTGAAGCCAATTCCTCATCTACCTGGCCAGGTGTGCTTCCTGAGGGTGGAGGTTCGGTCGCGATGGCTGGGCTAGCCCTGCTAGCAGACCGCCTCCCTGCAGACTTTCTGATGGTGATGAGGCCGGTTTGATCCGCTTTGAATATTTGCGCGTGCATGCAAACATATCTATATAGGGTCTATCCTGATACCTGTAACAGTCAGTAGACAATTAGACATTTATCACCATTTTTGAACAAGGCCTTCACTAACCATCAACATCCACTGTTACAGGTAATAGGATAGACTCAATATCTAGATCTCCCTTTGGAAGCAGTCGCTGGTTCATGGTGTGGTCGGGGTTGGCGGGTGATAACAGGTTCATTGAGAACCCCGTCAGCCTTCATTGAACCTTTGCTTCGCGTGTGTATGGTGGGTTTTTGGCGTTATGTAATGTAATGTCTACTTGTTTGCTCAGGACCAGGAATGGAATTGACCAAGCTTGTGAACCACGAGCATAGCATAGCTGCTCATCTTGCTGTAAATGATTTTTCCCCAGTTTGAAGTGGAACCGGAGCCGGCCCCTGTTTCAAAACATCGTGTAGGACCATGCATTTGGTGGCCGCTCTCCATCGTGACCTGGGGGGCACCGCTGCGGAGCGCTTCGCTTGCTATGCGGCGGCTGCTTCGCACGGGCGATGGGAGAGGACGGGGTGGGAGTTGTGTTTTTTGAGTTTAAATAAACGCAGTATATATATACATATAGAATTTGTTCACAACATATGAACCTGACCTATCCAGTATGCATCTCATGAACCACATCCAGGAAGACCAGATTTTTCCTCGGCTCGAACGTTTCCTCGGCTCGAACGAGAGGACCGGTTGGATGAACGCATGGTTCCAGCCACGCCTCTTTCACCTGCGCTGGAGCCTCAAAGAGGCCCGGATCGCTTTCGCATCGGAGCGCCTGGGATGGGCCGCCCCTCAAAGGAACATGATGAAGGGAAAGGATCTGGACACATCATGAAGTATCTGCTCAATTGGAACGGACAAGTGGCTGAAGATGCTGAAGTGGGCTTCAAACATCTTCAAACGGTTTCAACTGCTTTCAATGGCTCTGCGACGATTTGTTGGTGCCAGGGCATTGTGAGTCGTGAAGTGCTCAAGCTTTTTTTTATTTTTTTGGGGGGGTGAAGACGGAGCTTAGCACAATCTAAACACATCTAAACCTAGGCTGCCATCGGACCCCGATTGGGTCCCGCACATCATAGATACAGTTGAAGGGAGTGCCCACGTGAACATCGTAAACCTCGGCATGAAGCTGCACTGCAGGAGGCTACCGCCAGCAGCAAGGGGATGGACCATGGTGTCAGAGAGGTTTCGTTGGGTCCTTTTTCGCTGACTTGACACGCCACCGGCGATCAACATGCCCCAGACAATGGTTGCGACCCACTTATTACGCCGACGGTGGATTGGACTGGGGGCTTTGGCGTTGGGATGCTTTTGGGCCATGTTCTGGCCCTTCAGGCCGGGATGAAGCTCCACGCCCCACATGCGGGACGTGAACACTTCTCCATTGCGCGATGCCTGGCTGAGCTCGGGAACCAGCGAGGAGAAAAAGCAGCGGCCGATGCGCTTCACTCCTCGGCCGGTCTCGCTGGTCACTCCTCGGCAGTTCGCTGCGTTCCGGACTTGTTAGGCACGTGAGCTGGTTAGCCATCCTCCAAACAGAATAGACCCAGCTGGGCCTACTCCACCATGCCCGTGTTGTTCGAACGTTTTGAACGTAGGAAAGGGCGCAGGAATTCCAGGGTGTGAACCCATGCATAGCTTGGAAAAAATTGGTGCGCATGTTCGCCCAATAGATATGGACACTGTGCAGTTGAGTTCCCATAAAGGGTGTAAATGGTTCCCCTGCGCAAATCTTCCTAAGATGGCAGTGCCAACTGCAATTGTTCAGAATGGCGTGGATGATTCTGTGAGTCACTCATGGCTGCTGCTGCTACTGCTACTGCTACTACTACTCCTCCTGCTGCTACTGCTACTGCTACTGCTGCTGTGCTTAAATATGGGCGAAAATAGCACCCACTTGCTAACCCACTCTGAAACACGCAGGACAAACAAATTGTATTCCTTTAAGGGCATATGAATTGACAGGCTACGTCCAAATACACGATCTCTAGCAATCACTCCCCTCAAGAAAAGGTATCCGAGACCAACCACTTTTGTACTGTACTACCCGGAGGGAATGGACAACCATGGTGTACCTGGACCCTGCAACATGTTCTTTTCTGGTGTTCTATTTTTTCATCCACCAACTAGTGCCCTACTTTTAAGTTCTGATGCTCCATTTCCTAGAAGAGTCCACGTCACCCACTAGCTTTCAAGAGCAACGCATCTTGTGGGTCTGTATGCTTTCCTACACTTTTCTCAGGTTCTTTTGAGGGTGGGTTCAGCGGTTGCTCTCAAGAGGGACCTAACAGTACAAGACCATCAACGGGTGTCCATGGTGTCCAATGCACACCCTACTAGACTGGCTTTCCATAGTGCACCGGTCGGATGGTGTTTTTTTGTGTCTTTTTAAGGGGAGGCACACCCTGGCGCTGGCTGGGTAGACTCTATATAAATATAAATATATATATATATATACGCGTCTATCTATGTCTATGTTCATTTCCCGAACCTTCCAGGGGGAGGCCATCGCTACTAGGTTGGAGGCCATCGTCTCGGTCTGCCTCTTTTGAGCTACACACAGGCCCTGAGCTCGCCGCGGGGCGAGATGTCGGAGCTCAAGCGGCAGCTGGACACTGCCACGCAGTTGGGAGAGCTCGGTGAAATGGTCTCGTCATATTGAAGAGATCTGTGGGATTCTTGGATGTCCCCGGAACATCCCGGAACCATTGGAAAACATGGGGCCAATTCAGACTCCTCAATGCCATTTGTCTTGAAGATGTGTGAGGTTGTGGCGAAAACGGGGACAGGGATTAGGCACATCGCTGCTTTGCAGCGGGAGGTGGGACTCTGTTTGATTCATGTTGATTCTAGCCATTGCTGCGAAATGATTTGCGGCTGTGCGTGGCTGTAGTCATGAGTTTCCTTTGAGTCTGGCGGTGTTCAATGGCATTGTCACGTTCTTTCTGTTAGCGAAGTGGGTGACCTGTTTGAAGCCCCTGAGGCAGGGCCGACGCCAAGAGCAGCGGTTGCGACAGCCGGCAGCTCAGGGAGAATGCCGCTCGTTCCGGGGGGGGATGATGTGGATGCGTGCCATTCATAGACCGTGTGCAGATACTTTCAGTACGCCAAGTACTTGGCTACATCAATGATACATCTGAAGCCCATGGCTACGGGACACTCCGGCGTGCCAGGCACCGAAGCTCCTTGCGCGAACTGCTGCGGCAACTGGAGGAGTCTGCGGAGTCTGCGGGGCGGTGAGTGAAACGACCGGGGCCGATCCGGCGAAAAAGAGAGCGACCGATGCCAAAGAAAAGGAATGGAATGTAGATCGGTCGATGCACAAAATGTTGGAGGGTAAAAAAGCAAAACATCTCCAAATATAGGGGGCTTTTATGCATCAACTGCCTTCTTCGGGCCATGTTTGGTCGTTTTCCGCATCACCATGCCGCCAGGAGGTGGAAGAGAGGGTCAGTGTGGTCGGGGCTCCCAGAAGAGGACTGAGAGCATGGCCTGCAAGGTATGGGAGAGGCCGGTCAGTTTTGGGGAGGGTATATTTGGTAATATCTGGAAGCTTTTCATTTCTTTAAAACAACTCCAGCAAGTGGCATGCCTTTTGTTGCCAGCGGCTTTGCATGTTGAAAAATCAGTGATCGTGATCTATTTGACGAATCCAGCAAGGAAGTGCCATCAAGCGATCAAGTAGAGACCTCAATTTCTTTTGGACCCCCCTTGAACCCACTGGACGCATCATGAAGGGGGCATGACCCGTAGATATACCTCTCCAACATGACCCACAGGGGGTTTTCCATGCTCGAAGACCGTCCCTGACCCGGTCTCCGAGTTCGCTCCAGCGGTGGGTGGTCTCCGTCAGGTCCAGCGCCGCGTGGAGACGGTGAGCCGTAGCATCACTCGTCGGGACGCCGGGTGGGCGACGCGGTGGGGGGGCCAGAGGGGCCTCGGAATCAGACGCTGGGGGCCTGGGTTTACATGGCAGAATGTGATTGTTTACACCAGGAGTCACCAGGGTTTTGCCAATTTTTATGGCCTAGTAGATGCCGATGTCATCAACTGGCCAGAGCCGTTCTACAATGTTCTACACTTTTTGCGGCAGGAATATGGGTGAAGTTGTGATGTCTGGCAGGTTTTGGGCGAGGCAGGCTACCTGGCTACCAAAATCGTAGGAGACCATGTGCCCCATGACGATCCATCGCGTGAGAACGCCAGGCCAATACGTGAGAAGAAAGACATAGACATACATACTAAGACCGACCTGAGAAAAGGCACACGAACAGCTTCACACTCCAGTTCTACGCACACGCATATACATATATATGCGTGTACATGTTTAGTTTGTACTGTCCTAAACCTATGGAAATTCTCCATGGTCCAACTTACACAGCCATCAGCATCACCAGCAAAGCACCCCTTGTTCTTCCCAGGCTCGGCGGAAGCCGTAGAACACCAGGAGCGCCGGGCCACGAACCTGGATCAGCTGGCGCGGGAGCCGAGATGAGCCGAGATGAGCCGAGAGCCGTGCCAGGCAGTCATGGGTTTTTGGCATGAAATGATGACACTACCCCTAATAGCTTCTTGTTACTACTAGTAAGGCACTTGTTACTACTAGCGATGCACCTGTTACTACTAGCATTCTTGTTACTACCCGCTTGAGAAGGGCTGATTTTATGACATCAACTCCTGCACAACCTTTTGTGTTGCGCCATACAACGGGTAGATGAAAGCATATGACAGGAACAAGAAACGGTCGAGTTGGAGTGAGATGGACCCATGGCGGTTCCGACATGAAATGCCGGTGCATCACCATTTGATGTGCCGGGTGGGAATCGCAGCATTCTTGTTAGGGATTTGTGTGGCACACAGGAACTCTTACTACCGTTCAAGAGGTCGCTGCGTTCCCTGGCTTTCCACCTCAGCACCCGTCTCTCCGACTCCGTGCGGTCCGACCAGTCCGGTCCGATGTCGGGATGGCATGAGTGCTCAAAGAAACGGGATCACCCCAAACACATGAACCATACCGAACTCTATTGTGTGCCATGACTTGCGGACATGCCGATCCTCGCGCTTGCGCCCGTATCCCTCGCTACTGGTACTCTTTCGTAGTGGGTGTAGGGGGTCTACATGAACTATATACGTGCTTACTATAGCAAGAGTCAAGAGTTGTCCAAACTTCGTAGCCCCTTGTTACGTGGAATCTGCTTCGCGCATGCGCTCTGATGCGCTCTGCAGCCGCAGGCGAACACCTCGGCGCTGAAACGCTCGGTGCTCAGCTGGCGAGCTTTCTGTGCAGCCCCAATGAATGCAAACACATGCAGCCTGAAGATGCCTGAGGTGAAGGTCCCAGGGGTCATTGTGTCATGCGCACCTGTTGTCAACTAAGAGGTGGCCCTCATGTGACATGGTGGCCTTCATGCATCAAGTTTCTTCCCAAAGGATGACAGATTCGTAGATCCTTTCAAACAGAACTTAAACAACATTGACTTCCTGGCAACCTCGGACTCTGGCAACCAGGTGGTGCCACTGCAGCCTTGACCTTTGGATCTCCAGAGGCCAAGAGCAGCGGAAGCTGGAAGCCTCAGGGAATAGGCGCCAAAAGTTAAAAGGATTGACATGGGGCCGATGTGCACACACACACACATATATAACTTTTCAACAGAACCCTTTTGGAAATCGTGCGGATCCGAGTGGAGAAGGTACTTCATATAGTATTTTGTAAAGACTCCTGCGGTGGTGGATTTCTATCGACTTTTTATGCCCTTCTTGGTGAAAATTCGTTCGCTTTGAAGTAGGAGTTCAACTCCCCTAAAGCCTCACTTGGACTTGATCCCCACCCAGTATGGCATTTAAGGCAAGACAAGTGCTTGAGACCCAGCTACAAAACGAGCACTCAATGAGAGTCTTGTGGTGCATGATGCTGATGCTGGATATCATCCTTCATGACGAGAGGAAACCCCCGCAAGTGGATGAGAGATGGTGAGTCCTTTGGGTGAGTCCTTTGCAGTGCAAACCCGTTGGGCAGCCGAAAGAGGCACGATCTCCTGGGACGGATTTGTTGCGACAACTGAGCATCAGCTGCTGTTCAACATTTGGTCTATGTGTGGATAGTCTGAAGGTCTGTGGCGATTCCATGACTATCCCCAGTTGTTGCCATGCGGCCCTGCACTGAGGAGTTCTTGATCTTGGGGTCGATGAGAAGCTGGAAGAGCTTGAAAGGCGATTTTGAGGGGGCTATGACGTCCGCAGATGGGGGCATCGGCGGCATCGACGTCGACGGTGCAGCTAGATAGCCAAAGCCCAGTCTGACCTTGCTAGACTGTTTTGGATGAGGAATCCTTTTTGGGTTACGAACGGTTATGAGCAGAGGCGAGATACAGCTAGCCTCAAAAACCGCATAGTTTGGACATGAAATGGTGGTTTTCTGTTTTTGCGAGCCTGTTTGATCCAAGCCAGATGCAACTCCAGACCCTCCTTTCCGACGGCGGCCGGTCGGCCATGAACGCCCGGTGGGTCCCAGTCGGCCAGGAGGCTATGGCAAGCCACTCAGGTTGGAGTCCAAGCACTGCTCAGATCGGATAAGCAGAACAGAGGGCACCCCAATAATCAGAGGAAAGTCGCGTACGTGTCAGTGTCATCACTACCAGCGTTTGTTATAACCAGAGCTGTAGAGATTCTATGGTCCTTGCTTTCAGGCTACAGCCCAATCTTCAAAAAGCTGTTGTAGACGACTGATCATGGTTCTATCACGCAAGAGGAGGCTGCTGGGAATTGTGGACATGCCTCCTAAGCTCTTTAGTGAGGCCATGCAAGGATAACAAGCCCATTGTCAACGCCTGTCAGTCGCCCAAGTCTAGAGTTTGGGGCCGGTGCAGACATGTTGAGAGTTTCCCTCCCACGGACAGGACTTTGATCGTCGCTTGACGGAGGAGGCAGGTCGGTGTTTTCTGGGCAGATGATCTCGAACGAATCAGGACTGACTGATTGGTTGTTCTTTTGTGTGTTGTTTTTCATTCTGATGCATTGCCGGAGTTCTTCCATGGACTGTGGAGCCTTCGGTGGAAAACGCTTCAGTATCGCAGTAATGGCCTTCAGTAGACGACCACAGGCTCCAGACCAAAGGGCTAGGCACGAACCTTCGCCGTGTGGCCTGAAGAGGTTCGAAGCTAACCGTATGAACCAAGCTGTTGAGTACGTGACCACGTTTCCTATCTGTGCTTGAACTCACCATATTCCGTTTACTCCAGGGTTGGTTCGTTGCTGACTGTTGCTACAAAGGGAAACTCAAATCATCCGAAGCAGCCTTTTGAGTAGCCTTTTGAAGGAATTCATTCGCAATACCATGTTGCATAGCTGGTTCTGCTTCTTACGCCGGAGGGTTGCGTAGGCATTGGCGTAGGGTCACATTTCATGGTTACGCGTATGCAGGGTGCAGGGTTGTGCAATTCTGGTTTGTGAATTGTAGAGAGTGGGTGCAATAGCCTTCAAAGCATGCTGAATGAATAGGACAGACTCGTAGGGCTTCCCTCTGAACGGAGCTCATTCATTGTTGGCTGCTGGCCGTGGCCTTCGCTCAGTCCGTTTCCGCACCACCATTTTGCAGCTTATGGCTCTAGAACTCGTAGAGCTGTGCGAGAAGTCTGAGGAGGCCCGACGCCGAATGGCGGCGTTCACAATGTTCACGGCCGACCGGTGAAGCGTTCCGTTTTTTGGGCGACCGCAGGCCGGCGATCTCCATGACCCACTCACCCACCAAACTGTTAGTATACTACCTTCGGAAAAGAAGTATACTGTATACTACCTAACTGTATACTACCTTCGGATGATATGGGGTTTCGAAAACATACACACACAGATATATATATATATATGTGCTTGCACCCAGCATAAAAATCTTATAAATAAAAACATTGTATATATATATATATATGTGCTTGCATGATTGGGGGTTCCGAAAGCACCTGTTGGAGGGTCCAGGGCCACCATCTAACGTTCCAGTACCGGTTCAATGGTCTGTTGGAGCTGAGTTGGGAGCGAAGGACCGCAAGTGTGTGGACCTGCCCTCTTCTGCTCCTGGCAAAGGACCAGTGGACAGCAAACGATGAAGCTTCGGACCCGGACAAGTTTACATGAAACAAGCACTATATAATACATACATATATATATATATATAATGCCCTCAGTAAGACGAATCACCCTACAGCCTTCCATCCTTGGCACATCTCCCGAGAGTGGGTCTGGTCAAGTGAAAGCTGGCGGGTATCGACCCCCCAAAAAGCAGCAAAGTCAAAAGCTACCTCTTCAAGTGATCACCATGGATGGGATGGGCATCCCGACCACGACCTTTCGGTGGACGGACGGAGGTTACCAGATGATTTGGTCAAGTTTGTGGATTCATGTTCCTCGTATTGTGGCACTTTCAGCCCAGAGTAGACCAGAACTTACATATGTTAACCTAACAATGCTTCACCCATGAGAAGCGTGAACAGGGGGTTGGCCCCATGCATCCTGAAAGCACAGAGGATGCGTGTATATGAATACGGTATAATACGGTATACTTACCAGTACTTAGCCATTCTTGCCTCACTTGTGGTTAGGATTTGGCCCGTCTTTGTTGATCAAGCCTAAGCCATCGATGGCTGGGGCCTAGCAGGAACCCTTGGCCATGTCTTCCGCCGCGGCCCGGGGCCCGGATGACGTCTCAGGTCATCGACCTTATTTTCGTTTGGTTTGGACGGTGGAAGTGATGAGCTCTTCAGCTGGCCTGAACCCATGAGCTGCCCACAGCTTTTTGGGATTGGTCCACGCTTGCAGACAAATCTCAGTCAGAAGTCACTGTTGCAACCACTCGTGCAATGGAGGCACGATGGCTTTCGTAGGGCACACGGGGTTGATTATATAGATGAAGTTTCGGAGGAGGTGTTTTGTGACGGCATGCCCGCGAGGCAGGCAAAATGGGCAAGAATTGTAAGGTGTCCAACTACCAAGAATTGTTATGAATTGTTGACATTTCCTGGTTCTTTGTGCCAACCCTATCATCATAGTGACTCTTTGGCACCATTCATTGACCGAGCTGGAAGGTGGATGGAAGATGATGGAAGCTGGCTTCAGTTTAGACGAGCATCTAGTTTCTTCCAGATTTCCCAATTGTATGTTTTTGGCAGCATATGTCATTTGGAGATATTTGGAGTGTAGTTTGGAATATTCCTTCCTGCTAATCCTGAACAAACACCACGGTCATCGAGTGGGCACAAATCCAAGCACTCTTTATTTACGACAGACTTGCCAAGCCCTCTCCAAATAGGAGACCCTCTTCGACACACGCACACACCGCACATGTTTAAACCAATATTTGATTATAGTCGGAGTTCCTTTGTATGACCAAGATGAGCCTTGCGCAAATCAACCCCATGAGTCTTGCACATGTGTTTCTCTCAGTGCAACACCCATGCAACACCCGTAACGAACACATGGGTAACTTAGAGCCAGCATCGCTTCTAGGGGCTCCTGGCATCGTTACTAGGAGCAAGGACTCTAGTAGGGTCGCTTCCAGCAATTCAAATCCGATCACTTGACACCCGATGCGTGGCTGAACGCCTCGCGGAAACCAGGCGTCTCCGGCCTGCGGAGACCGGAGGGCCGGAGGTTTGTGGAGGGAGGGCGCCACACGTGTTGCATTAGAAGAAGTGGAGGCCGCAAATGGACATCGTCTCCAAACATGTATCTCTTTTTGGGGGGACCTCCATGACTGCTCAAGGCTTCAAAGTGCCCTGGTCCAACGAGGTCAAAGCTCGCTTTCTGAGACTGCTTCGGGGTTGGGGGGAATTGAGTGGATGCTTCTGCGCTCAGCAGGTGATTTGAACATTTGTGGATGCTTCCGCTCTCAGAGCGGTGAGTTAGACTCTCTCCTCGTCTCGAGACAGAGGTTCGGATGGGGGTTCGAGACAGAGCGCAGGAGAGCACCATCACCATGATCACCACATCCACGGTCCTCTTGATCGCTCAAAGGCTGTGGCGGGGAGGGTAGAGACAAGTCCCAGGATGTTTTATGAAGTCCTGAGGTGGTGCGAGCAGTGGCCATGGCACCCACAGCATATGGTTTATATAGCAGAGATTCTGACCTACCAGTTGTTTCATGCTACTTCAGGATGTTGATGGATATTCTAACAGGTTGTTGGGTGTAGCTCAAGTTGTTTGCTTGACTTGTCGCTGTTGATGGCTCTTCCACCGAAAAAACGATGCAGACCTGACATGGCACGATGCACCCTCCGTGTTGCAGTCCGTGGTTTTCCATCCGACACCCGTTGTGACCGTGGGACCAACGTTGAACAGTTGGCCATTCTCCTTTCTAAAATTGGGTTCCGCAAATGCTTTGGAGTGTGAACACAGAGTCGGAAGACTGCGCTGGCGAGGCCTTGGGCATTGGCAGCTTGAGTTTTGAGCGACTCGACTTGACAGCTGCTGTCGGCCGAGGTACTTTCCGCACCTAAGGACCTAGGGTGCAGAGGATTCTACAAACTATAGACGATCTGGCTGTGGAAGAATGGGTTGTGCAGTGCCTTTTTTGGGTCGCGGGGAGCCTTTGACATAACTTATCAAGGCTCAACAACTTGTTTCAACCGCGAATTTAGGGGTAGGTTATTTGGTATTGTTAATCTTCAGACCCCTTTTTGCCACATGTTTCTCTTTGCCGACTGCGCATGTACAGAAAGCCAACACGCATCAGTTCTTGTCAGAACGCTATGGCTATAACTTGAATTAAGCCGGAATTACACATCCGGCAACCATCGGAAACCCATACCCTGGGGTCATTGTACAGGGTGCTGAAGGTGGCAAGCGGAGTCATCCAAATAGTGGCCAATCCTTATTTTCAAGATTTTCAAGTTTGGCAGAACCTGAAGGAAAAACAACATCTCTCGCACGTCTCACTTCACTATTCAAGTCATGATGATATTGTACTGTTTTCCCCAAGGAGTCCTACCAGATCCTACCAGGTCAGATCATGCGGAACCATATGCAGCGCGTTTTTGTGAACAACCATAATTTTTTGGGACCATGACGGAAGAGTGGAAGAGGCAGACCCTTTTGGCGTAACGGCCCTATCAGAACCCTCTTCGCTCAAATCCCAAACACTAACCGTCACTAACCCTTGCATCACCCCTTGGGATATAAAGGGTCTTGAGGCTGGTCTGATTGGTGGGGCTTTTGGTTGAGCCGCATCACAGCTGCACGGGTTCTGCCGAAAGCACCGAGGCCAATCTTTAATGAGAAGTACAATGCCAACCGGGCCGCGGCCCCAAAGCAAGATCCGGTTTCGCCACTTCACGGGACCTCAGTTTGCGCGGGGTGAAAACACGGGTTTCCCGCAGATTTCCCCTTAGACCGTTAGACCCATTCATTGATGATTGGTGCCGTCCCAGACCTGGTAGGAAAGTTGCCTGACCAAACTAACGCATGGTGCTGCCATAGTGATGTATGATGGCAGACTGCCATCAGAGTTCCTTCCTGCCACTGAGAACCTATGTAACTACATTGGGTCTATGCCTCTCTCAGAGTTTGCATATCGACCAATTTGGTTTTCTGTGGAGTCGTTTCTCCGTCATGTGCTTGCAGCTGCACTGGGAAAGACATAGTTTTGCGTCGCATTGTTGCTACAGTAGGAATGCAACTGGTGTATATATAGTCACTTTTGGCTTGTGAGTGATCGCATTGACGTTGCTCAATGGCAGCTTCAATCAACAAGGTCGTGCTTTAAGGTCTTTGGACCGTTCTGATTTGCAAGGAACTCCAGAGATCATATGGACTTCGTTGGAACCAACGTCTACATTAGATGTACATGCATTGCAGCACATGAAAGTGCAGATGTGCGTAGATTGCGTCCCTTTTTTCTTGAGGAATTAATCTGAGCAACCACTGAGTCACTGACTGCAGCAGAGCTCCACTGTCTTTGCAAAACCGCAGGTGGCCAGGGAGACAATGGGCTTCCTTTGCTTGCAGAGGCTTCTGCCCATCCTGACCCTCGCCGTGCGAATAAGTGGCGTGTCAGTGGCGCCCAAAAAGGACTCCCACAAAAAACTTAGGAACTTCTGTGATCTTCTGTGATAGATCTTCCAATTCTTCTATGACCTTCCATGTTTCAAACTCCAGAAGCTATCATTGAATAGTCATTGAATGGGATGAAAACAGACATCTCTCACAATTCCAGTCTCTTGGCTTGGGTGATGGGAGGTCCTTTATTTTTTCCCCATAGCCCATGGGATCCCACCGACTGCAGCAGCCAAGGATTGGATTGCTGACTGCAGCAGCTGCCGTCGTCGCCCGCAGCTCAGATCGTGCCGGTGGAGTCAGCAAGCCTTGGGCCTTGGGCCTTTGGAAGCACGGGCCCCCCGAGCATCAAGGATTCTTTTCCCAATGGTTTCCTTGAAAAGTTGTTCTCAACTGGGGCCCCTCGGCTTGCGTGAAAACTTCACCAGAAAGAGTGACAGAAGGATACAGAATGCTCCAGCGTGTCAAACCCTCAGCAGTACCCTCAGCTGGTTTGACTCCTTAGGCACTGGAAGGTCGATTCTGATTCTCTGTTATATGTCAATGGCTGAGCATGTTGAACCTGGGTTTGTGCGTTCTGTGCCATGCTGCAACTCCACAAAAAGGTGGAGCTGTGGGTTTGTCTCGGGCGTGTCGCATTTCCTTTGCATAGCTTGTATTTGTGGCCGCTGTGGCCACCAAGATCCATGAAGTATGAATCGGCGGGGTGCGGATCTCTCATTGAAATGGATAAATTGGCATGTCGATACTCCCGGACCACGGTCACCAAGTGCGTGACACTCTTGATTCATAAAACCACTTCATTTGGATTCTCTTCATGCGGGGGACACTTTATACAGAACTCACTGTCTACATGGTGGGACGCTGTGCTTGATTCCTTGGGCTTCTGATGGACAGGTGGGCTACATCAGCGAACTTCTTGGGGATCTTCGGACTGAAAAGGTCAATGGGCTCATTGCGTGGAGTCTCAGCGGTTTTGGGGCTCTGCGGTCGGATACCAGCGGACAGTAGGAGCATGTTGCGGGCTCTCCGTGCACGTGAATCCTGCCCCTTCAATCTGACTAATGCAATCATTTAACGAGTGCAGCACCCGCCGGTCACCCGCCGGTTCGACTGTTCAATCTTGAATCTCGCATGCCAACATCTACCAACAAGCCACCCTCGGTGACCCAGAACCGAAGGGTGCGTATGATGTGTGGATCTCGAGCACGTTCGATTCTACATGTTTTTACGTTTTGTGGTTGGGTTTGTTGGGTCCATTTGTTTATCCCATTTGTCAGTCTGCCAAACCCCAGTTAGCGACTTCTTCGATTTGCTCGATGCCGCACGCGTCGCGCCAGCGTCGCGCATGCGCATGAAACAGTTCTAGCACATCTCAACTTCCTTTAACGAAAGAAGCATCATCTATCCGGATCTTCGGTGAAGCAAACTGCATTCCAAAGGATCTCTAGCACCAGCAAAAGACCAAAACTCAAACTCACACACAAGGAACAAATGAATCATGTACAAAGAAGCTTCGAGCAATTTCACAGTGAATTTCCATGTCCATCCAGATTCAATGATGACCATGCATTCAACTCTACAAATTCTGCAAGAAAAGCAAATCGACATGGAACAGAAGGCACCTAAATCTCAAGAAACGGTCATCTTCTACACCTCCGATCCTGGTCGGACTTTTTTGGACACGTCCTTCAACTACAGTTCCGTCGACACACGGTTGAAAAGACCATCAAGACTTGCACAACCTGAGGAATGGTGGAGGGCCATTCTTACAAAATTCACCATCCGGCAGTCGGTTCATCTCCTCGTGTCTAACCGCCCGTGACAAAAAGAGTTGCTGTGCTTTCTTTTTACATCACATTTTTGGGCCTTTCTGAAAAGGTAACAAAAATCCCCTTGATCAGCGCCAGTGTCCTTCATGCGGCATGTCAAGGTGGAGCATGGGATGCTGGTGGCCTGGCTGGCAGGTGGCGGTCCGACCGAGTCCCCAGCCGTCAGCGACATCAACGGCCGCCGACTCGGGCCCAATGGGGGGCGGGCTCAGCCAGATGGGGTGGGCTAAACGAAAAGCGAGAGAGAACGTGGCCATGCTAAATTTTGCTTTGGCGGGTGATTTGAATGCAATCAGTTGAGGGTGTATGATGATTATGATGGACACCCTGCAGCCCCGAACAAATAAGCGCAAAGAAGTCCAAGCCCCTTCCAAACCTCTTGAGGTGCACGGGGAGAGGTCTTTGGGACTGGACACTCCTAAGACCCCCACCAATTAATTACAGAATTGCACGCGGCATTGCGCCATGACCTCACCCATTGATCACCGCACATGCTTGCCGGTGACCACCTCTTGGGATGCCTCAGTTTTCCACCACATTCGGGGCGGGTGGCCCACTGGTACGTCGCTGTTCTTGCGCCAGAATTTGCCATGATGAGCGGCCTGGCACTGGCTGGTGGCTTCCTAGTGTCGCGTAGCGGCCTGTTTTGTGCGACCGGGGGCTCTTCACCAAGAGAGCGGCCAGAACAATTCGTCGAAGTAAATTTACGCAAAGACAGACTGCAAGAACATGAACAATGGCACGCTCCTGCACTGAGCAACCTATTGTAGTCACATTGGTGTTCTTTGCGCATGGCCATCGTGATCGGGAACATCTATATAATCTAATCATTAACCAATCTTATCTAATCTTCATTCTGCACCACTCCACTGCTAAAGTAGCTTCATTTTGAAGCGTGAATTTGAATGATCAGTGCCAGACAGAAGTCAATCCACAGAGCCAAATATGTGTTTCTATATTTAGTTGTTGTGTGATGATCATGAAATGACATGCCCCTTTTTCAAGCGGCTAACTCTGGCTACGTCCAGCTCGGGCGTTTCGACGACCCACGGCGCCAGGTATTGTGGGGACATCTCTGGCACCAAAACCGCTGGGCCTTGATCTTGGCGAGAATGGACAAAATTGGGAATCAGTTCAATCAGTTCAATCACCAATACTATCCTTATAGGCTTTGAATCATACTCATCGTAAATGAGTGTATGGTATTATCATATAATTAGATGTTGCTCCTTTCATTGATCTTTTTCCAGCTCTTGAGAGGATGTTGCTCGTCCAGTGTTGCACCCTTTTGTTGCAACCTTTTCGGCCCAGATTAGAGTGTAGGACCGTTTCCTCACACCGCAGCAAACGCCTGCGACGTTTTACCGTCATGCCATCGGTGCCAATGTTGGAAAGGTTAGGGCTTTCAAGCCCATGCCGTCGCGGCGCTTCAGATGAATCGGGCCGAGCAGCTACGGCTTTTGGAGCGGAGAAATCCAAGGCAAGTGCTGGTGAAACCCCGTAGTCCTCTAGTCCTCAACTCCCTCGCGGTGGACTCCCAAAGGAGTCATCACTATTATTGTGCACCAAGGACCAAGGTGCTTGCGACCCTCGCACCCTCCAACAGGTTACCATTTGCAACCTTTTTGCGTCGAAAGCATCCAGAGTAGACCGTGTGCTGATATGTTCAACATAGTAGACCTGGTGGGTCAAGAGGCCCAGTGGCCCAGCATTCCACAGGTTTCTGGGCCAAAAGTTTCCCCGTTAAGATGAGAAACACAAACGTCACGAGCGCGAAACACTACCGGTCGTCGCTCAGGCGAGTGAGCTGTCTGACCTGTCGCGGCAACCCACCTCTGTCGACCTTCACGAGAAGGCATGCGTGCCCACGCCACGCGTGGCGGAGCCCCTTCCAGTGATTTGGCATTTTGGGGTCGGAGGAAGCGTTTTCAGATGTTTTCACTCATTGGTCATGTGTGTTTTTGTTTTGCCTGGTGTTCGTAGGTTTTCGATGTGAACAATCTTTTCACTCCATGCTTTTCAAGCCATAGGATTGCTGACTTTTGCGCTCCGTGCACGTGACGCGTTTCCGTTGCTTTCGGCACGAACCGCACCGGCCATGCTTGGGTCGATCCATGCAGGCGCCGTGTGTCGAAACCGAGTGAAGTGGACCCCCTCAACCTTTGAATCACCCATGTGAGGCAAACATGCTCGTTCCAGGTTGGGGGGGGCCCTGAGATTGAGAGGAACCCTTGCTAACAGCGTGAGATCCTGGACATGGTGTCCAAGACATGTTCCAGATTTTGTGTTTACATCCTTTATGAAAGCAATTGGGGGTCCATCCTACGTTATAAACCGATATACATATTGTCCTCCATACGTGTGTCAGACGCACGCACCACTCTACGAGAGATTCAGACCGCGTCTCCCAGTGGTCCGACCGTCGGACCGTGAGCAGCGTGCGGGCTGCTCAGTGCCGAGGTCCTCTTGGGCCGGACCAGGCTAGCACCACCAACCCAGAACACGGACGCAGAGGCGTGTGCACAAGCAGCTCGCCAGGCCTACCTGGAGAGACAAGCACGGAGACGCAGCTGATCAGGTTTACAACAGCGACATCCGGTGTTGTGGTGGGACTTGACTAGGCTACAGATACTTTGAAACATCCAGCTGGGTTGCCCAACTTAACCGTCATCACGCATTAATTGGAGTGTAGTAACGCATTCTACCTACCCAAACTACCTTGAGGCCAATTTTTACTTTTTACCAGATACCAGCCGGTCTTGACCATTGTTTTGGCCAGTATGGCTGACAGGGTTTCCACGTTTTGTTTCTTTGCATGCCGGGTTGTTAATTGTTAAACTTGTTGCAAGACACTGTTGATATATTCGGGGTTCATTCCAGGTACGCCCTCATGCGCCTTTTGAGAATGGATCTTTTTGAGTCATTGAGTCATTACAGGCCAACATGACTGACATCCATTCACCAAACAACAAGGCGCTTCCGGTGTGGACCAGCTTCCCCACTCGCCACTCCTAAGGAGAGCCAGTCGGGTCACCGGATGAGACCACAGCGCCACTCCAAGCGGTGCGAGCCGTCAGAAGCCAGATTGTACAGACTGGCACCAGACATGGCCGAGGATCCAGGGACGCCATGCGTCGTTTGCAAGATCTGAACGAAAGAGTGAAACTGTGGGGTGCAGGTGTTTCAATATGTTTCAGTCACCTCTGACCAAAGCGCATTCACCTGGATCCTGGTGTTGACCGAGCACGCCCCGAGCGACCAATTCGCGGAGATGGCGTCCTTACTGCGATCTTTGCCAGCGCATGCTGGCAGTGTTTGGTTTCCGTAGGCCGTTGTGGATGTTCATACCCGAAGCTATGGCATCCAGGCCCCTAGACGGAAGGATGTTGGGCTAAACGTCAGAAGCAATGTTACCCAAAAAATACTTTTGGACGATGTCCGTGATTGCTTGGTGGTGGCCTCTTATTTCATACACCCAAACATTGGAATTCGCTTGGACCCACATTTCGTGTGGAAAAAAGGTCGCCGTCCGCCTAGAGGAGCGCTGATTGCCTGCTGACTCTGTTTGCAGCGGCCTTTTTTTGTGGTGTGCGTGTGCGTGTGTGTCTAGAAGATTAGTTACCAGCTGACACACCTCCGACAGGCTTTTGCGGTGGCCGGCTCCTTCCATAACACAGCAAAAGTCTCGCGCATGGTATGTGTGTGTGTGTGTCAACACCGGAACCCCAACCACGCATACGATCGTATACTATTGTATGAAGGCCATCGAAGGCTGACACCAGCTTAGTGGCTTTCAATACACGGGAAAACTGCTGGACTGGGAATCGTTTCACTGGGAATCGTTTCAGCTGTAGTAACAAGAAGCTTCGGCCGCTGTTTTGGGACCTCGCGACCCACTGGTCGCGGCAGACTTCGTGAGGTCCTCCGGCATTCCGCAGCTCATCGGTCTGCTGAATGGTTGTGATTTGAAGGGCGAGTTCAGTCTGAGGAGAGGAGGGTGTGGTCTCGGGTGTCCGATGCTTCAGGGTGTGACATGGGGATTGACACTGCTTGGAACGAGCATCGTTTCAAAGGCTTTTGAAGCAGGTAGATAGCCAGAGTGAAGAGGTTGGCCCTGGGTTGAAAGCAAGAGCTCAGCAAAGGTCAAACTCCTCCAAAAGTGGGAATGTCCTCCACAAGAAACATCCGGATCCTTTGAAGTCAAGATTGGGACACAGATTCGAAAAGGACAAGACACCTGCCACCCTACTGTGCATGTCTTTGAGGTCCTTACCCTTTTCATCCCTTTTCCAAAAAGATCTTCTTCCTCCCTGCCTCCGTCTCATCCCTCCGCGTCTCAGGCACGGCTTGGTGAAGTGGTTCGGCGTGTGTTTGGCCGTGGCCTCCGGTCTGGCCGTGGGCCCTGAAGGCCCCATGATCTTCATCGGCGCCTTCGGCAGGGGAAGCGTGTGCCGGGCGGCGGAAGTGGAAGCGGTGGAACACCAAGAGGCTGAAAAGGTGGTGCAGACGGTCCGGCCGGAGCGAGTGTGTGTGTGTGTTTTCCCGAATGCGTAGCGAAGGGTTCTCGTTCAACTCTTGGGGGTGTGGGGGTGGAGCCTTGTTCGCGATCCGTTGTTTCTACGTCCGCAACCGTCCGCAACCGTTCGCAGGTGTCCGCAGTAGAGCGCTAAGGCGCTGCCATTGGGGGAAGCTTTTGCAAGTGACTTTTCATGGATGTGTCACGTGTCAGTTTGCAACGCTATTCCATTGTGATTTGCTTGAAAATGGCATGTCGCGCAAGAAGCGTGATGCATTTCGCTGCACAGGCGCAGTGGTTTGAGAGATCCGCAGTTTACTGCGCAGTTCCATTGGGACTAGCGTTTGGAGAGTCGTGTTTTTGGGGTGTTGGATGTGGCCGTGCCATTGGGATTTGCAGTCTCAGCTGAAATGGCGATTGATTTTGGTGGATGGGAGTGCGCTCAGAACGGGTCGAAATCATTCTAAACGTGCGGTGTGGTGCAAATTTTGTTGAAGCTCACGTGAGATGATATTCTCACTTTTCGTGGCAGGCGCAGTACTTTGTGCTGATTTTGAGGTGTGGAAGTGCGATTTTCGTGGCAGGCGCAGGAAATCGTGAGGTTGCGAGGTGTGACGGAGGTGACATTTCGTGGCAGGCGCAGTACTTTGTGCGCGTTAGACATGTGGATGCGGAAAGATTCGTGGCAGGCGCAGGGAATCGTGAGGTCGTGAGTTGTGGTAGAGGTGAATGTCGCTGTCACATTGGGATTGGCGTGTGAGCGGGTATTGTTTGGAGGGGCTGGACTCGCGAAACTGCTTGGCAGGGCTGCGTGATGTGTGTGTGCTCCGATGGGTGTTTCCGCTTGACTTTTGGAGGAAGTCTCGTACGAAATCCTTGTTTTGCAGACTTTGACATGTGAGTTTTGGAGGATTTCTCGTACGAAACGCTCGTTTTGGAGACTTGACACGTGCCTTTTGGAGGATTTCTCGTACGAAACGCTCGTTTTGGAGACTTGACGTGTGACTTTTGGAGGAAGTCTCGTACGAAGCGCTCGTTTTGGAGACTTGACGCGTGACTTTTGGAGAAAGTCTCGAACGAAACGCTCGTCTTGTGCAGCCTCGAAGCGCGACTTTTGGAGGACGTCTCGTACGAAACGCTCGCAGGACTGCTTCTAGTGTGCCACAAGAGTGTCCCACAAGAGTGTCCTACAAGAGTGTCCTACAAGAGTGTCCCACAGCCACAAGAGTGTCCCACAAGAGTGGTCCTACAAGAGTGTCCCAGAAGAGTGCCCCACAAGAGTGTCCTATAAGAGTGTCCCACAAGAGTGTCCTACAAGAGTGTCCCATAAGAGTTTCCTACAAGAGTGTCCCACAAGAGTGTCCCACAAGAGTATCCCACAAGAGCGTCCCAACAAGAGTGTCCTACAAGTGTGTCCTACAAGAGTGTCCCACAAGAGTGTCCCACAAGAGTGTCCTATAAGAGTGTCTCACAAGAGTGTCCTACAAGAGTGTCCCACAAGAGTTTCCCACAAGAGTGTCCCACAAGAGTGTCCCACAAGAGTTTCCTACAAGAGTGTCACACCAGAGTGTCCACAAAATTGTCCCACAAGAGTGTCCTACAAGAATGTCCTACAAGAGTGTCCCACAAGAGTGCCCCACAAGAGTGTCCTGCAAGAGTGTCTCACAAGAGTGTCCCACAAGAATGTCCGACAAGAGTGTCCCATAAGAGTGACCCACAAGAGTGTCCTATAAGAGTGTCCCACAAGAATGTCCGACAAGAGTGTCCCATAAGAGTGACCCACAAGAGTGTCCTATGAGAGTGTCCCACAAGGAGTGTCCTACAAGAGTGTCGTGTAAGAGTGACCCACAAGAGTGTCCCAGAAGCGTGTCCTACAAGAGTGTCTACAAGAGTGTCCCGCAAGAGAGTCCCACAAGAGTGTCCTGCAAGTGACCCACAAGAGTGTCCTACAAGAGTGTCCCACAAGAGTGTTCCACAAGAGTGCCCGGCAACAGTGTCCCACAAGAGTGTCCTGCAAGTGACCCACAGAGTGTCCCACAAGAGTGTCCTGTAAGAGTGTCCTACAAGAGTGACCCACAAGAGTATCCTACAAGAGTGTCCCAGAAGAGTGTCCCACAAGAGTGTCCTACAAGAGTGTCATTTGGACATATGTAGCTTTTCGAACGTGTTTGCATTCGGGTTCGTGGGCTCCATCTTGTTTTTTCTTTTTTCAGAGGTCCACTGGCTGCAAAGGATGACGAGGTGGAACGTCATCCTAGACGGAATGCCTTGAGAGACACGTCCCACGTGTCATGAGTCATGTGGGCCACATGTGCTTGCTTAAGTGACCGGGTGACGCAGCATGGTCGCTTGAGGGTGAAGAGAGAGGGAGAGGGAAACTGGTGATTGAGGCAAATCATGTAATACGTATACCGCATACTCAATAACATTGTTACTTGTTCATCTCTTTTCAGTTTTGTTCCTGTAGGGTTGTGGCAAATCTCCAAGTTTCACCTGTTTTCGAGAAGTGTGCCCAAGAAACCAAAGCAAGACTTCCACTTGCACCCCTGGTCGGCTCAATTAAGGTGCCTCCATCGGCTTCTTTTGCTCCAGGTGGGTGTGTGATGCGCGTCAGTTTCATGGTGGGCATGAGTGCGAAATGCACAGCATTTCCCTGTGGTGAGTTCCTGTATTTGGATTTGTTGATAAACTAATTGATCATGGCATGTATATACTTATGTGACTTATGTGTGCACATTTGATGTACGTCTGCGGTTTGGAGCCATGAAGGTCATAGGTAAGCGGGTTGGTATGTTGACATGTTCCAGCAATTTCAAGTTCCTTGTTCGCCGCATTTCGCCGCCATCCTGTGTCATGCTTGGATGTGCTGATCAGTCACCTTCAGACCTCCCAAACAAAGCTCTTAACCTGGTCATGCTTCATAACATTTCATAACCCTTAACGAACAAATCATTGAACTATCAAACCACAAGATCGTTTGGACACTCTGAAAAAAAGTGAGACGCCGGCAGGTTGCCTCAAAACCCCACGGTTTGGAGAGTCTTGGGCACTCCTCCAGCCACGGTGGGCCGACGACCCAGCCGGAAAGGGTGGACGGAGGCATGGGGGGGGGCCTTAGCCTGGCCCAGCCTGGTGTTTAAGGAGTGACGGGGTGGACCGCAAACACGAGTGACGGGTGGCAGGCCGACACCAAAGGGTTTTGGTTTACACCGTGAGTATCTGGGCTTTTAGATGGCCTTAATTAAGCCTTTGAAAAAGAATCGAAATGACTTCTTGCATCGACCAACGCCATATTATGCATCCATATGCCGCATTGCACCTAGCCATGCTGTACCCCCTCCGGTCCAAGGTGATGATGTGTACACCCGGGACTATACCTCCATCGGTGCTGCCTGCGGTATCGCAGCCGCCTTCCGCGCGCCGATCGCCGCTGGGCCGTTCCAATGATTGTCATTCTTTCGGTTCAACTGTTCCCCCCTCTTAGCAGAACTAGGATTGCGTGCCCTCTTGCGACTCTGGCGAGGCAACGACGGACCAAATCATGTGCCACCGAGACGGAGCGATGAGAACGCTAGTTGTATAACCGTGTGTGTGGCCATTTCTGTCATCTTTCTTTTGGGTCAGGCTTTTCATCTGGCAGCTCCAAGAACTGGCCATGTCCGCCATGGATATTTTCAGATTCAACGCATCGGTGGGCGATCTCTCGGGCCCAGCCCTTTTCCGTGAAGCGCGATCACAGCTGTTGGTTCGTCTCAGGCAGGGACCCTTTTTATTGTGGAGGAGGCCTCCTCACACTTCAAGAAGGATCAGATGGCAAATATTTTCTACGGAGGCACGGCACGGTGGCGATGAAACCATGCGGTGCTGAGTGAAGCCTTTGGAAATCTGGTCGCCGCCAGTGTGGGTTGAAACATGTGGAAATGACATATGCCTCAATTTGGGTGTTTCCCATTGCCTGTGCCAGGCGACAAGAGACTACCTTTTTTACAATCCACTGTTCCTGGGAATGGGATTTGCGAAGTTAAGATTTCAAGGGTAACAGTGGTAAAAGGGTTTGAGGGAGCAAGGGGGTGGGCCCACAGCTCAAGAATTGTTGAGGTGTCCGGCAAGTTTGGATCTGAATTGTCCAAGACTGATCAGGTCACAACCTCACAATGCCTGGTCGCCTTTGTTCTGGACTTCTTTTGGACATGAGGCTAGCTCCCTGTTCTTCTGGACCTCTTCCATGATCACCACACCCTCGGGAAAGACACCTTCACCATAGCTGAGGGTTGCCAGCAGCACTCCAAAATGTGCTGACATGTGAGTCATGACATGTCACTCCATTGGTGTTCTCCACCATCCTTTTTATCTTCTTCCACCCCCTGAGATACCAGGACCGATTCGGGGATTCGGGGCCCCGGTGCTCCCGTCCGATAGAACAATGACCTTCACCGTCCAAAGGGTGTGGAGTTTCAGATGTTGGGGTCCATCCATTGGCGACCCCCCTTTGGATGCATCCTGGTACTTACAAGACTTACAGTGGTTTCAGGGTAGATGGCCCGACCTGTCCTATCTTGATAGGGGGTCCACTAGGGCCATCTACTCAGTGCCATCTACTCTTATTCCCCTTGGATCATTCTGGTTCCTCTTGGATCATGGCAGAGGGAACAAAAACAACACCCACACCGAGCTTTGCAGGCCTGGCTGCTGTGGAGGTGCGCTGCCTCACCAAACCGAACCCCCCCTACCCGCCGGAGCGGGACACTGTTGGGGGCTCACCTGGCGACGAAAGAGGTGGATTTGGATCTCATCAGCACAGCTGCCGGATGGGTGGTAGGAAAGTCTGAGACTGAGAGTCGAATCAGAACACCGGGTGGGTGGAGTTGCAGGTGATGTTGCTCGCTGGTGGAGCTGGATCCATCCTGGAGTACAAGGTGCGCAGTGAAAGGGAACACGTGCTTGGTCGATGCTATTAGGCATGGATGGATGGTGATGGATGGACAACACATATCATGATATTCACACACAGATATATATATATATATATATACATACAGTATATAACCCAAGCTCGTCAAACACGGTTGCAGATTCGTCGTTCTCTGCAGTGCACGCAATCCAGATCCGCAAATCCACCCAAGTCCTTACCACGAAGAGATGTCACGAGATGTCAAGCATGAGTCGGGGGTGGGTTTGACAAACCTAGAACTGTGGAATGGTGTTCATTACTGCTTCCAAACTGGTCAGGCAAGGTCCCCCGAAAACCAACGAAGGAGTGACAGATCTGGCCCTCCCAGCCGTTTCCTTACGCCAGGGCATGTAGCATATGCCCAATGACCATGCAATTCAGGGCCTGGCCGGGGCTTCCACCGCGCGTGCCTTGCACTCGAGGTGCAAGTGGGTCCAGGTTGCAGTGAAATCCCTGATTGGTGCAGACCTCAGGGTCGGAGGATGATTGACAACCGCTTTGACCCCATTGGCATCCATTTTTTCGATTTCTATTCAGTAAATGATCAAGGACTCAACAGATGGAGTTTTCTCCGATGTGTGGTCCACAGCAAGGTCCAAACTTGGACAAAGCTCGGATCTTCGGGATCCATATGAGCTTCGGATCTACTGCAGCTGTTCCTGTGAACAATCCTCCAGATGTCTTACATCCAACACGGGCAGTGCCTCATTGACGACCACCTCAGCTGGTCCAAAGCACACTCCGGCTCACCAAGCCCCTTCCCCTCCACTGCTGTAGTTCGACGATGGAGGTGCCGCGAAACCATCGTCAGTTGGTTCCGCGAAACCACTCAGGACCTTGGTCTTTTGCATCGTCGTGGGCCTCCTGTGTGGACTCCTGGGCGCCGCCTTCAACGCCTTGAACATCCAGGTGAGCGAGCTGGAGGGAGATGCACCAGTGGCGGGAGATGGGATGGAGATGGAGGATGATGGAGGGGACAAAGCCAAAGCAACTGTTTGAAGTATATAATATATCAGTAACTACAGTAACCGTAAAATGACTATTTAGGGGGCCAGGCCTTACTGCCTGGTGCTCTCTATAAGTTGGCTTTCACAAGCACAGTGAGCCAAAGGTCCGGTGACCGAATCCAGGCGAAGCTACACCACGGGCGTTTTTGGGGTTGTTTGGGTCCAAGTGAGGCAGATGGCTTGGGTTGGAACACTCGGCGGTTGCGGGGGAGGACGCTGTAGAGATCAACGGAGAACCCAACTGTTGATCTCCAGAAGATTTGAGGTGCTGCGGGATTTGTGGGGAGTAGTGGAGGCCAGGTGTATTTACATGTTCCATGGCCCATGCCTGCCGATCCACTCAAGGGGAAAGTGCCTTGAGCCGATCACACATGACCGCTCAATCCGCTGAGCCGCTGAGTTCTAGCTGAAGACATTATGGATTGTATATTACAATATATAGTTATCCCATGTTATCTCCGTTTTTTATATTCCAAGTGCTCTGGAGTGTTGTTTGCTGGTCTTAGAGTTTGACGGCAGTGTTGAAAAGTACCCGACCCATTCTTCAGGCCGGCGCATGAGATGTTTCCCAGCTGAGAGTTTAGGGATGAACATGTCGCACCCTTTTATATGTGAGCCTTCACCATGAGTCCATGTAGCCGGGTGGGATCGAGCTTGACACCAGGAAAACAGCCGGTAGACCGTTCGTTGGTCGTTGATGGTTCGCTAGTGGTTAGCGACACGCACTTCGAGAAGTGTACCAAGTTACCCTGCAAAGCTCCGTTACCAAGTGCATGGTAGCGGAGCTCCGGCTCCGGGACCATGGCTGCAGGCGGAAGTCAAGACATTCCAACCTGGAATGGAGACGCTGCGACATTTGAGACTTTTGCTACAGCATGCAAGTGGTATCAAAGATCCTTAAAGGATAGTGAGCAAAAGTTGGCAGCCAGCAAGGTTTGGCAGAGATTGTCCGGCGCTGCAAAACAGGTGGTAAAGCATCTTCCTCCAGAAGAATTCGAAGACGAAACTGGACTGGAGAAGCTTTTGGATGTCCTCAGGGCATCCCCGCTGCAGCTTCTCCCAGTACCCGACTCCTTTAGTCGGCTCGAGGCATGGCACCATTTGAGAAGAGCACCACATGAAACGATTCCAGAACTGCTAGTGAGAGAAGAAGATCTTTTCATTCAATTGCAGATGGCATTGGAGCGTGCACGTGCTGCGAAAACCGGAAGTCGTGTTTCTATTAGTGGTGGCATTCTTGGACAGGCATTTTTGGGGCGTACAGGTACAACTCCAGTTGATCCTCCTTCAACTCCGTCCCGCTCTCCGGTTTCAGGTGGCAATCGTCGTACTGGAACAGGTGAGTCACCCGCTGCTGTCGAACAGACACCGTTGGCATCGTTCTTTGAGGACGAGCTCCGGGGTTACAGACTCCTCAAGGCTGCTAGGCTTTCGACCTCTGAGAAGCAACGTGTATTGACCCAGACGGCAAACAGCACACATTATCATCAGATTCGTTTGGCCCTCAGGACATTGTTTGCTGATGATGGCGAAGCACATGCAGGTTTTGAGCGTCGCAAGACAGCGTGGGTGTTGGAAGAAACATGGGACGACTACCCCGTCGATGAAGGCTGGGAAGAACTGGATTGGGCCGATGGTCAAGATTGGAGTCCAAGCGGCTGGGATGAATGGGTTGAGCCCAACTTCTGGCAAGACTGGTCAGGTGATGCATGAGCTCAGCTGACTGGCAAGAAGATTGGTTGGTTGAAGAAGAACCTGTTCTACCAGATGAGAACAGTGAAGTGGCGGAAGAGCGCCAATACCAGGAGGCCTTTGCGATTGCGGACGAGGCCCACAGAACTCTTCGTGAGGCCCGTGAGGCCGTTCGCAAAGTGCGAGCTGCACGTGGCTATTACGCACCAGAGTCCAACATGGGCAAGGGCATGAGCCCGACCTCAGCAGCTTTGAACAAGGGCAAAGGCAAGAGTGGCAAGAGCTTTTGCAAGCAAGAAGGGTGCTGGCAAGGGCTCTTCATTTGGTCCTTGCTTCATCTGCGGAAAGCCCAATCACAGCTACAGGTTTTGCCCAGACAGATTTGCTGGCAAAGGAAAAGGAAAGGGCAAGAGCTCCGGTGACTTCAAAGGCAAATCAAAGGGCAAGAAAGGCAAGTTGAACTATGTGAGCTACGACTCGGCTGTGTTTTCACTGAGTTGGGATGCGCGCACCATGAATGGCCGCGAGGCCACAAAAGCAGTGATCGATACAGGGGCAACTGAAAATGCTGTCGGCGTTTTTTCTCTCAGCGACCTGGTTGCTTCAGGAGGCTTTCAATATGAAGTTTCCAAAGAAAGTTTGCCCACCTTCCGTTTTGGGAACGGGATGACTGACAAAGCAATCTCCCGGGTAGATCTTTTTGGAACAGCTCTTGGACCTGTTTCTTTCTTTGTTTTGGGCGGTACTGGATCAACGACTCCACCGCTCATCGGCGCGAAGCTCCTGAGAAAGAAGAATGCGGTTTTGTCGTACCACACCACAATGGCATGTTCGTGTTCAAACCTCATGGACAAGCCAATAGCAACAAAGAGAATGATGCAAGAGCTGTGCAACTGGAGGCCCTTACCTCTGGCCATCTCACGATCGACCTGGCAGCGACCCCAGTGGCCATTCCGCAGGACAGAGATGTGTGGTTTGGAGAGTCGGTCGAATGGGCAAAGCAGACAGAGCATGTTGAGCAGCAGTGCAATTTTGTGGAACATGTTTTTATGATGAGTGATGTGCAGAGCAGTTGCATTCATGGCCATTCTCCCTGTTTTTCCTCACCTTCCTGTCCTTCACAAGCTGGCTCGATGAGTGAACGACTTGAGAATCTGGCTCAAAGACTCTCGCATCTCCGTCGAAGGCATCAAGAACATGTCCAGTCGTGCACCAGCGGCATGCGACGATCCCAGACAGGAGGGATTCCCATGTTACGGTCAACACAAGACCGGGAAGATGAGGAGCAACCAATTTGCGACATGGGCCGCGTGCAGTCGGTGTGGCCTTCGAGTGCAGTACACGGCCAAGGGTGGCAGTGGACAAGGACACACCCGACAGATGGGTCCAGATCCTCAGCTCATCAGGCTGACCATGGCATCTCTCGAGAAGACGACTCCTGCAAGCGAGATGACAGCCGACATCGTCAATGGCAAGATGATGGAAATCAAGGGGACGATGCTGCAAATGGGCATCAAAGTGCCAATTGCCCTGAACATGACCTTGGCCGAGTACGAGAAGAGGCTGGAGCGCTTCGGAAGGGCAGATGGGAGCACAACGATCCCATCGAAGGAGACGTCTCCCATCAAGACGGAAGAGAAGACTTCGAAGGAGACGTCAGGATTGGCATCGAGTGCACTGAAGGCACCAGCAACTCCGGCGACAACAGTTCCAGGATCTCCTCCAGATCTCCAAGAGAAGGGCCACTCCAGTTCATCAGAGCAGACGGCATGAAGGGTCCGGAGGAGGAAGAAAAGAAGGATTGAGCCAGGTGATTTGCGGCCTTTGGGACCGCTTGCGAGAAGTGAGAAGATGGCAGGGCAGCAATGGCCCATCACAAGACATCCGCATGTCTTGCAATCCCGTGCATCGCACACCAGCACCGAACTCGACAGCCGACTGTTCGAGCTCCACGACAAACACTACGAACACCACGAAAACCACGACAGACTTGAATCACTCAGGCCAAGATTCTCCGCCTGTTCGTGATGAGCATGGCACGATTTTTAGGACAACGTCAACGACACCTCCCCGAGTGTGGACCGGCCCCACTATGAAGGCTGGCCAACAAGCAAAGGGACAACCACTTCCTTTGAACACGGTGAAGAAATTGGCAACAACAGCTGCCACCTTGGGAGCGATGATCATGGCACCAGTGCAAGGCCTGTTCTCCCAGATGAGTCTGGGAGTGGACTTCCAAGAGATTGCGCTCCCAACAGCTCCTTGAGTGCCTTCATGGAAGACAAGGGCTACACCATTCGCAGGATCAACTACAAGAATGGATATGATCTCGAGACAAAAATGGGCACTCTCCGCCTGAAAGAGGAGATGACAACCAGTCCTGCGAGAATGTCATGGGTGTCTCTTCCATGCACCCGCATTAGCCCTCTCACCAACCTCACGGCCAGGACCGAGCATGAGCAAGCATTGTTTCTGCAGCGGCAAAACAAAGACTTGAAACGAGCAGATGAAGTTAGCCAGGCCATGTGTGTGAGCTTGGAGCAGGGCAATGACTTTGCATGGGAGTGGCCTACAGGAGCTGCGAAAGGATGGAGAGCAAGATGCATCACTCGGCTGATCCAGAAGCTCAAGGCTCTCGGCAGACCTGTTTTCTGGGCTCGATTCCATGGCTGTGCATATGGTCTATGCTATGCTGGCTACCCCATCATGAAGAGTTGGACAGTCTCATCCAATAGAGAGGTATGGCTGTCACTTCAGAAGATATGCCCAGGACATGAAGGAGGTCACCTCGAGTGCCGAGGAATGGCCGCTCAAGCATCAGCCTACTACCCACAGAAGATGGTCGAGGCCGTCGGAAAGGCAGTGATTGCATCTTGGACTCGAACAGAAGAAGAGCAGAACATCTCTCTGGCCAAAGACGTCCAGTTGTGTTTGCTTGAAGTTGATGAAGGGCACGATGAACAAAGTCCAGAACACAAGATCAGGGAAGAAGAACCCTCAGTATATGCCCTTCAGCGCCAGAGGTACTCCAAGGAAAGGCCAACTGGCAAGAAACTGGAGTCCATCAAGCAAACTATGCTGCGGATCCATCGTGCATCCGGCCACTCAGCAATGGCCAATCTTCAGAAGATGTTGAGGATGAGAAAGGCACCTGAATGGGCAGTGGCCTTAGCAGGAGAACTCCAGTGTCCAGCATGTGTGGAGGCAAAGAAGCCTAAGCCACCTCCGACAGCTTCCCTTGAGGATATGCCAGGCCTCTTTGAACAAGTCGGAACCGACGTGTTTGAACTGGAGTTCCAAGACGATGATGATGGCAACACCCAAAAGGCCAAGTTCATTCTGTGGCGCGATCGTGCCAGTGGTTTGGCCTTCACAGACCTGCTTCAGGTGTATGGAGGAGATGTTCGCAACTGGGAGCCCAAGACCTCGGACGTGCTGAAGTCTTTTGGCAAATGGTTGATGATGAACCCCAGTCCCAAGTGGGTGGTCAGTGATCCTTCAAGTTACTATACTTCGTCAGAATTCATCGACTACATGAGTCGCAGCGGGATCGGGATTTTGACCTCACCTGCAGAAGCGCATTGGGTCATGGGAGCCGAGGAGGGTTGCATCAACATCCTCAAGTCCACCTACAGACGACTGAAGAAAGAATGTCCCGCTATGGGAGTAGAGGACTTGATGAACTTGGCAACCCACGGCCACAACCAAACGATTGGACTACATGGGTTCAGTCCCTTCCAATGGTGCGAGGAAGTGATGCTCCAGAACCATCTCTCCCGGTTGGCATTCGACCAAAGGATGCATTTGATGGCATGCTCAAGCTAAAGGCCAAGGCAAAGATCGCCTATGAGATGGAATATGCCAAGAGCAGACTGAGCAGATTGTCAAACTCCGTGAGCCGACCTCCAAACTTGTTTCGCACTGGATTTTTGGTGATGGTTTGGCGTCAGCACGGAGGGAAAGGAAGATGGGTTGGTCCTTTGAGGACTTTGATTCAAGAAGGCTCAACTGTGTGGTTGGCCACAGGCTCATCGATTGTCAAGGCCAAGACCAACCAGATACGGAATGTCACCACCAAAGAAGAACTTCAGGCTTCACTGGAGGGCACAGCCATCTACCGCATGCCTGTGACCATCGACTCCCTGCTCCGCCATTTCTCAGGGAAACACTTCACTAACATTTGCGGCGAAGCACCTTCGGAGTTGGAAAGACAGCAAGATCTCAGCGAAGCCAAAGTGGTGGTAGAGCCAAAGCCAGACAAAGTCAAGGCCGACCAATGGCGAATTCAAGAAGACAAGTGGTTGATCCGTGTCCACAATGCTCCCCGACTTGGACTATTTACGCCTCACCGCATGAACTCTTGACAGGTGTCCGGAAGACCTACGTGACACACTCCGTCCAGAACGCAAGACAAACAGTTCTGGAGGACAATTTTCGTGAAAGTGATGATCCCCATCGGCAACTCCAAGAACGATGGACAGGAGAGACGTGGTTCGAAACATCCACCAGCTCGGGCTCCGTTCCAAACAAACGAAGAGCAAAGGCAGAGAAGAAGGGCACCAAAAGGGTGGCCGAAGATGAACCTGGAACACCCCGAGAACATCCTCCTGATCCAAAGATCGAAGGCCGTCCAATTCCTCCTACTCCAGCCGGAATGCCAAGCACACCTCGACCTGGAGCAGAACTCGAAAGTGACAAAACTCCAGCAGAAAGAGGTGGACAGACTGTGATCTGTAACCGATGCACTGTGGCTGAATGCATTCTCCCAGGAGGACATGACGGACCTCATATGAACAGCTCCAACAAGCGATTCCACTGGAACTCAGTTGATGGAAACATTCCAGTGGATGAAGACTCCTCCTCTTCATCGTCTTCATCGATATCATCGAGCAGCAGCTCTGAAGAGATGATTCCAGAGAAGAAGCTGCGTGTGAAAAAGGAGACTTTGAAGAAGCGAAAGAAACCACCCGACAAATCAAGCTTTTACATGTCAGTGGACAAAGAAGATGTGTTTCAGCTTGAGATCGAGATCAAGCAGAAGGACCTCCAATACCTGCACAACCATCCAAACAGATCTACGATCTGGTTGTCAAAGAAGATGCAAGAGAAAGGACAAGAGAAAGAATGGGCACGCATGTCAATGGATGAGAAATTGGCATTTGACCTTGCACAGGCCAAAGAGTTGAGCAACGTCTTACAGTCAAAGGCTTTGCGGTCGCTGACAACTCAGGAGATGAAGCACCTGAATCCCAAGTCAGTGATGACGATGCGCTGGGTGTTGGTGGTCAAGAGTGACCAAACGGCAAAGGCTCGACTTGTGGTGTGTGGCTATCAGGCCCCAAACCTGGTCAATGTGCAATCCAGTTCTCCAACCATGAGCAGGTTGTCCAAGAACATGCTACTCACCTTATGTAGCAACAATGGCTTCCGCATCCGCGGAGGGGACGTCACGGCCGCTTTCTTGCAAGCGGATCAGAGCATGGAAAAAGACTGTTTGACCGTATGGGCCCCAGCAGAGCTTGCAGTTCTTTATGGAGCACCTCCGGAATCTCCAGTCATGCCCCTCCGAATCCGTCGTGCATTCTACGGTCTCGTGAACGCTCCAAGGGCTTGGTATGAACACCTAGTGCAGACTCTCACCAGCATTGGATATCGTCCGCTGCAAGGAGACCGCTGTGTGTTCATCCTGCAGGACCACAAGCAGGAAGGCTCGCCCGTGGTGAGCGCCCTTGGCATACATGTTGATGATGTGCTAGTAGACGGTGGAGACAGTCCAGTTTTTCAGACAGCATTTGAGCGTTTGCAACAGGCATACAAATGGGGCAAGTGGGATGAAGACAGTTTTGTTTTCACAGGTTGTCAGTTGAATGGGAAAAGTGATGGAGCAATCACCATGTCCCAAACGGAATACACTGAGCGCTGGATTGAAGAGATTTCATTGAGCGCTGAACGATCAAAGCAGACAAAAGACAAGGCTACTCCAGCTGAAGTGTCCGCATTGAGAGGATGCATTGGTTCCATTGCATGGAGAGCTTCCCAGACATCACCCCAGTTCCTTGCAGATGCTGGTTTGTTGCTTTCAGAAGTTCCATACGCCACCATTGACACTCTCAACAAGGCAAACAAGCTTGTGAGGGAGATGCGTCGTGAATCACAACAGGTGTTGACTTTCCATCCATGGCGGAGACCATGGAAGGAGATAGCAATCATTGCATGGGCTGACGCCTCGCAAAGGAACCGACCGGACGAAAGCTCTACCATGGGCATAATCGTTGGCATGGCGCCAATAGAGTTCCTGAGCGGGGAAGAGACAACAGTTTCTTTGGTACAGTGGAAGTCGTCCAAGTGCTTGCGACAGGTGATGGGCTCGAATGGAGCCGAGGTACAGTCAGTTACTGAGGCCGAAGACATGATTTTTAGAGCAAGATGTTTATGGGCAGAGTTGAATGGGCAAGTGTTTGCGCGACACACCATCCAGAAGGTGATCCGAGAGAACACGCATGGTGCAGTTGTGATGGACACTCGTGGAATTTTTGATGCTGCCACCCGAAACCTGTCGAGTTTACATGGCTTGAGATCAGCCCGCGCTGGCTATGAGTTGACGATTTCTTTTGCACAAGCAAGGCAGGTATAGGTACAGATTTTCGTTGGGTGCACGGAGGAGCACAATTGCACAATTGGGCGATAGCCTAACAAAATGGGCTTCAAGAAAAGTTCTTTTGCAGTTTTTCGCTGGAGGACAAAAGTGGAAGCTCATTCACGACCCCAAATTTGAATCGGGTCGGAAGGTTCGCAAGAAAGAGTTGGAGCGCCTTTTGAAGGAACGGCAAGATTCGTTCCTGGCAGCCGTCGAGAAGATGGCACATGATTGCCGCTACCCGTGGGAACCACATGGTGAAGATCTCAGGGGTTTTGGTGATGAGAGTTTAGGGATGAACATGTCGTACCCTTTCATATGTGAGCCTTCACCATGAGTCCATGTAGCCGGGTGGGATCGAGCTTGACACCAGGAAAACAGCCGGTAGACCGTTCGTTGGTCGTTGATGGTTCGCTAGTGGTTAGCGACACGCACTTCGAGAAGTGTACCAAGTTACCCTGCAAAGCTCCGTTACCAAGTGCACCAGCCAATGAGTGTGCAATGAGCATGCAATGCTGTAGCAGGTAATGGTGTGGAGATCAAAGTATTGCAAGCCGACGATGCCTCCTCCTGAGCAATCGGAGAGCGAGCACAGGGGTCGGCGGTCGGCGGGGAGTGCTTCCTCGGATGCTTCAGGACCTCCATGCAATTGGCTTCTCATGTTCCACAGTCATCCTTTTGGGTCCGAGTCCTCCTAGCCAAAACATAGATGGCATATGATGGCATATGATGGCATGGAGCCCCCCAAAGCAACGTTATGATTACCATCAATACATATGAATACCCTATTCGATATATATATATATATATACATTTTAAGTATATTACTGCTCACTGCGTTATCTATGGGGTGACTGTGGTTTGGTCGTCTCCTCATGTTGAGAGGCTTGTGAGCTGCTTGATGCCGGAAAACGTTCTGGCCGTCCTGGGGTGCACCATCGTCACTCCTGCAAACAGGTTTGGGCACTTGATAGTGGCAGTGTTGAAGCAACTGGGGGCCAGATTGTTGGACTAGGTTGTGCGGTTTCAACACGAGGACTTGGATCCCATGGACAACTTCCTGCACTTGAGAACCCGAGCCCGCCCCAGCCCCTGCCTCGAAACCCACTGAAATTTGCCTCACAAGCCATTTCAACCCAAGTTGCCCTGCGAAAACATCCAGTTACCCTCGCGTTTGGGGCAGCACCGCCAGCCACTGACCCACCGCCTTCCAGTCGTCTTACGGTCCCCAGGCCCCACCGTCGTGCGTTGGAGCTGGTGATCCTTTGTGCCCTGAGCTCCACCGGCTGGTTGGTGGCCGCGAGCTTCTTCGGAGAGCGCGAGGCCGCGCGGGTTTCCCGAGCTTTCCCCGTTGGCCCCGGTGGAATTTCGGCCCCCCCCCAAATGTGGCGCTGAGGCGCAAAGTGACGACCAAGAGGTGTCCAAGTAGAATGAACTTTAGAGTCCAGTTGATTGATGTTGATTGCGTTTCCCCCCCCGCTGTGCTGTTCTCAAGGACTCTGTGAATTCTCCTCTCGAGGTGGGGTGAGGAACAGGCTTAGGAACTTGTTCTCTGTATGGGTGAGCAAGTGCAGAAGCAACTCCCGAAGTTCTTGAGGCTCGTCGGATCTCCATTTCCCAGATAGTATGAGCTGATCCCTTCCCCTTATCAGAGCCTCAGCGCATCAAATTTTACTGCAAAAAATGGACAGATGATACGAAACAGTTACTGTACTTACAATTTCATTTTATTTGATTTCTTGCGAGGTGAGAACTGGTGGATCCCCCTTTGATGAACTGGTGCGTCTTTACTTCGAGTTCTCGGTCGGACAGAATAACTGGCGCGGGGCGACCTCCGCAGGCGACTTCCTCAGCTTTGCTTCCACAAAGTAGTGGTTGTATTAAGGACGATCTCAAAAATCAGGCGAGTTGGGTGGAATGTGTGAACACCAGTCGGGCCCCACATTGCAGATCTAGGCTGACAAAGCTAATTATGCTATTTGGTGAGATACTGCAGTTAACCAGGAGATGCTTTTTTGGGCAGGTGCTGACTAGAGAGAGTTGGGGTCCAGTTCGTGTGGGGGAGGAATGGAATGATCTGATAGAACCAGCATGACCATGCATGACCTAACATTAGGTAGGACCCTTTGCAACCAGGGTCCTTACGGTAAGTAGGTGAGTTCCGTCCAGATGTTCTGCGTTGTTGCTGGGATTTTCTGTGCTCCTCGTGGGGTTTGTGTGGCGAATGATCTGGCGCGACCGCGGCCAGACGGCTTGGCGCGTTCCAGGGCGCAGCGAATCGGTGGACGGCAAGAAGTGTGGCAGGTTTGCGCCACATTTTTGGATGCTACTAGTAGCAACAAGATGCAACAAGCTATATTATAGTAACAACATGTAACAACGGCATTACTACAATAGTAAGAAGGGCATCGCTACTAGTAACCAGGGCATCCTTTGGATTACTTCGGCCCTTTTTAGCTCACATGTGGTCATCATGCAGGCCCTTCAGCGTTCACATGCGCCACGCCATTGCTAGAGCGCTTCGTTCGACCTTGGTCAACAGTGTTTGCTTTCGACCTGGGAGCTCATACGGTTGACGGTTGTGCGACATATATCCAATCATCCTATTGATACGTTCTGTCTCCCACCGACGGGTGGATGTTGCACTCCGCGACCCGCACCACCCAGTCAGTGCTTTTGAGTCGGACCGGGTCTCCCTGCCCCAACCCGCGGTCCGGGATCCACGCCGCAGCTCATCACCGGTTCCCAAGTGGAAGCCTCCACGAAGGGTGGACCGGCCGGGGCGCTCGGTTCGAACAGCTCCAGCAGGAGGAAAGCCGAGTTCGATCCTGACTGGGCTGACTGGGACGAGGAAAGAGGCAGTAAGCAACGAGGGAAAGAGAACCAGCTCAGGGGGAGCTCCAATGTTCCTGTTGCATCCTGTTGTGTAGTTTCAATAATATCTATTTTGTTTCACATATTTGAGATCTCACTCAAGAGAATGAGAGGGGTTGTCCAAACAGTTTGCGAGGCACCCTTTGTAGAAACATGCATGGCCTGCCAGAAGGGGACAGAAATGCAACAGCTTCATTCAACTCGAATCCAGCATGCGACTACAATCTAGTACACTGCCAGCGGAGTTTTATACTGGCTTGGAGGCATCCACAAAAAACACTAGGCAAGTAGATTGGGTAATCCAAGTAACTAGCCACCGCTTCATGTTGATGCGGCACTATAGATTAAAGGTGCTACAGCAAACGTGGAGGCAGCAAATTCAATATACATCAATATACTGTATCCTGCTAAATCCTGCTACCTTCAATGCAACCACCGAATTAGTATACCCACGAATTCAACAATGCTTTGGGATGCGTTCCTTCAGAAGAACTCCTCATGTTGCTCTAAGGTCCAACGCCTTTTTCCTGCCCCGTGCTTGTATGGCCGGGACGCTCGATTAGCTCAACAGATAGTGCTGTTATGCGCTCTCATCGGCCTAGTCTCAGGAACCGCCCCTATCATGTGACCTAGCTCCTACCATTTGGAATATCATCTAGCTCTTAAGGCTGTCCTAAGGTGGCTTGAAAAGGACCCAACCTTCCTTGTCGGATCTCGAGGGTCAAAGTCTGAGGATGCCACCACATGAGGCTTTGTTTTGGCGTGTGTGTGTGTCATTGAGTCAATGACCATGACCTTCAGTCAATATAGAACGTGCTTTCAGCAAAAAATATGAAACACATTGACACACTATTATTATGATCCATTATGCTGGTCCTGCTTTTCAACGGATAGTGTTTCTTCCTTCAGCTAGTTGCCTAGCAGCATGTGAAATGCCCGGCTGCACCTTCAGCTCACTTCAAAAGGTCGACTGGTCAGTTGCTGGGCGTTTCGGGTTCAGAGAACGCAGAAGAACAGAGTTTCCACACGCCTGCTGAAGCGACATGTTGCACGCACGACGCTCCATACATGGAAGATTTGCCAAAAAACTGAGATAGGCTTTGGATGACACTGGTAGAACATGGCAAAGAAAACTAACCTTCCCCAACCCCTTCTGAAAGTGTCCATGTTTAGCTAAGGGTACCTACATTGGGGCGGTTGAAAGGAGGCCAATGTAGGGAATAGATATTTTCTTCCAATACCTGGAATATTTGGGACACACTCACGAGCCGTACTGAACCTTCTTGGGATCGTCCTTTAACAAATTAGCACATGAACGAGGCAATTCCATGGATGCAACTATATGTGTTCTCCCATCGAGGCCGCTTGGGTGTTCCCATTTGAGCTCGTTCCACAAAATGTGGAGCTATTGGACCGTCGCGAGGCCTACAATACAACACCGCATGCCGTGAGGCCATTGGTGCGACCGAAGACTCGGTCTTTGGCTTTGGACCGAAGACGGCGGGGTGTTTTCAAATGTGGCAATGTATACCCGCACGTGTTTTCGTTGTGCATGTTCGGCACCCACTACTGGCAATTCAGGGAGGAAACGCAGTAAAGGATTTTGAGACTCCAGGTGTAGATAGACAAGTGAACCCTCTATTAACATGTCTTGGACATTGTGTCCATCCTTCGCACTGCACAACAGTAACAGCGGCCACTGGCATCAGGTCCATCAACAAGCGGGAAGCAACAGTTATGCAAAAAGATGCGTGCAAGCTGTTTGGGAACCCAGTGGTTGACAATGGGAGTGTCGGGTTGTTCCGCACGGAACAACCAATCGTGAGAGTTTTCTCCGGAAAGGAGCGTCCATCGCGAGGGATGAGTAGCGCGGTTGGCAATGCCGGTTGTGAACGAGAGTGACCGAAGAAAGGTTGGACTGGGCAGTGACTGGTCACCCCGAATGATCGTTGGACATATCAATCACACCTCCTGCTCAACCCCAGACATTTCGGCCGCCTTAGGTGGAAGTTCGGGACATGTCTCGTTGTATTACAACGGTGAGTTCCCGATCCAGGGCTCCAAGTACATACATCAGAAAGTATTTGGACCTTCTCAACCCAGCCCAAACACCTTCTCACAAGGTACTTGGAGCCCGGATGGGCACACGATTATAGATGTTGGGTCATGTTTGGCTACTACTAGCGATGGCCTCCAACCTAATGGCCTCGAACCTGCAGTAATAGTGATGGCCTCCACCCTAATAGCGATGGCCTCCACCCTAGTAGCGATGGCTACCCTCCGGATGGGGGACCACCTGGTTTTCACACCCGACAGCGGTTTTTGGAGTCCTGGACGACGAGGTGAACACTTCAAGCATGCGGGCACGTCCTGACTTCCAGGCCCGTCCGGCTCGAGAGACAACATTTGCTGGAGACTGGGATGAAGCGCAGAGGTCCGTGGTTTTGGTTCAACACCATTTCAGCACTTCCAACATTACTCCAAATGTTTTTGAAGGCATTGGTCATGAGCCATGCTGCAGGCTTGATGCGGGGTCGGCTTCTCCAGAGGGGTGAGGATTGACAAGGATCCTCTCCACTTGCCTGCGAAAAGACCCCAATGAACATTGAACAGCAAGCTGATCAAATCGGTTGGTGAGCATTTTGCCGGAGCTATGTTGAACAAGGGTTTTTCATGTGTTCTTTCAACGTTTCCTTTATGAATGGCCCGTAGGTGGTCTAGCAGTGTGTCAGCGCCCGCTCAACATGCCCTGGGAAGCTCCCTCGGACCAACGGAGGCTCGAGGCCAGGAGGTTGAGTCCTGCAGGACTACTGCTGCAGCTTTAGCGATCTGAACTCCTTGATGAGTGGTGATTATCAGGTGCCTTGTGGGCAAAGCAGCTGGGATATGCTGATGCCTGCTCAGGATTGTAGGGGAACTCTTCATGAATCTGTTAGAACCTGAGCAGGAGCTGCATGTGCATTTTGCACCAAGCAGGGGTTTTGGTGAGAGGCTATATAGTTAGTGTAGAGCTTGGTTGCGATGTACATCGCTAGCTTTGCATGTGACACTCACGCCATGTAGTACGCTTGAGGTGGATGTCCCGTACATTCCCGTACACAGACCTGTTCCATAAGGGGTTTTCAAGGGAGGTGGATGAATCATGTTTTTTGTGTTTTTTTGGTGTTGTTTTAATATTTTTCCTTTAAATGTCCCTTTCATTTTCCTTTAAATTTCCTTGCAACGGAATGAGCGTATGGCGACGGAAAGCATCAGCAGCAGCTGTTTTGAGACACTTTGTGCCGACATGTGCCGACACTGCTTCCTAAGACTGGGCAGGTGCCAGGCAACGCCTCTTGTGCCATGGATTTGGGGAAGGCGGCGCCCAGCTTGACTGGAGGTGATGGAGAGAGCCCTTTCCTCAGAAACTGGAAGACCCTTGCGACAGGAAGCGTAGTTGCCGGGCAGCGCCTAAAGTACAGTATCATTTTGTGCGTGTTTGCAAATATATAGACTTATACTTATATCTATTTGTATAATCTTCTATGTCTATTTAGTAGTTTTAAGCGTGAGAAACAAGTTTCAATAAGTAGGACAAACTGTTTGCGTGCCCAGCTTGTCGAAGGCTTCAACTCCGTTGGTTTGCTGAGTTTGGTGCCCTTTAAGACAGCTTGTGCCAAACTCAGATCGAAACCCGGAGAGTCGATTTCGCTTTGCCCTTAGCCTTAGCAGTTTTATTGTAAAGAACCTGAAGTGCTATAGCAGGACGATCAGCTTGGTTGTGAGGGTTTTCAGGCTCCCCATGCTTAGAGCAAAGGCTGAGGGTCCTCAAGTGGAGCGCTTTGAAGTTCAGCTGAGAGACTGGGACAACATTTGCGTTGGTCAAAGGGCGATCTTCATTTCGTCCTGATCCTGCAACAGCTGCGGCCCCGTTCTGTTGTTGGCAGGCCAAAATCTCTTCGAACGTGGCATCCCCCATGCAGCCACAGACTCAGAAACCCACGCGAACATCAGAATTGTACATAACCATGGCAACCTCACGTCCAATGCAGGTTTTGTTGATACACGGAGGGTTTGGAAGAGGATAAATTGTGTTGTCACAGAGGTTCCCATAAGGTTTTGGGCCATGATAGTTTGGAGGAGTCATCATTGATAGACTTCTGGGCCCCTCTCACCATTGGAACTCTTCCGCTTTCCATCGTGGCTGCGCGGAGGTCACCTTGGAGGCTATGGGGGTCTTCCTCGTGCACAGCTCAGATGGCAGGAGCTTGGAAAGGAGACACAGCTCATCCTGACAAATCATCTACTGTCGTAAATTTGTCCGCGTTTTTTCACCCGCATTCTGGTGCTTAGGGTCGTAGAAGTAAGACCTGCTTTGATTGCTTCGGAGACTGCCATGCCGATTCATCACACTTTGAGTCTACAAGGTTTGCAATATTTTTACTGTAATTGGGTTGTTTCTTCCATCATGGTAATAGAGAGATTCTTTTGGTTGATTTGTTCTTGATGGATCTTGATGGCACCGATGAACAATTCACATGTCACCTGTGGCCCTCAGGTAGATAGGTTTGGCTCAGTGGCCCTCCAGGCTACCAACCATCAACGAATCTGACTTGCTGCAATCCGATGGACTTGGGCCCCACACCGGTTTTCCTTGGACGACGGGCGTGCAATACACCAGGTAGATCGTATACATGACATACATATGTACGTGTATATATATATATATACATATGTAGAACTATATTTATACATGTTAATATTCATTTACAACATAGAAACAACAGTTCAACAATATATTATGAGAAATGACATTTTGTATTTGTTGGATCTATGCGGCGATATGGAATGCCCGCGGCCTTGCAAATATGTACCGGGATTTGTCGATGGCTCCTTCCACCCAAGCGGACCGTCAGGTGATTTTCTTTGTTTTGGCGGCGCTCACCGCCGGGTTCGGGTCCCAGGGGAATGTTCGGGCCATGCAGAGAACATGCCGTGCAGTTGAAAGGGAACTGCGGTCCAACCCCCATCCAACTGCAAAATATGGGTGTGAAACCTTTGAGACGACGAAGGCCTGAAGGCAAGAACAACCAGTCCGGATGATTTTGTGTGACGGCGTCCTTCGTTGGCGAAATAACAAACATTGGCGGGCAGATGGTTAGGAGATTCCATTCATCGGCTTGCATGGATTTCACATCCTAATCAGCTGGTTTTCCCGGTGAATTCCGTGCAGCCATGCTGATGGATAGAACATGATAGAACCTACTCCACCACGTAGAAGAACTCACACGTTGGTCCAAAATTCTCCACTTTCCAGGGTCCTACTGTATGTCAACAGAGTGTATATAATGGAGTGCGGAATGCTCCAAGTGCGTCAGAGTGCATCCATCCTCAAACCGAACCCCACGGGGGAAACCGCGAGGTCAGCGATCCCATCGGGGCTGCTGATGCCACAGATGGTGACTTGGAGATGACCAGCACCTGGTGGACATGACAAGGACCAGGATTTGGGGCAGGGAACGCACTCAGAGATGCCCCGGCGTAATGATTTTCCTGCCAGGGTTGAACCACACAATTAGTGATTTTCAGAGCGGCAAGGACAGATGTTCTCTCAACTTTGGTGGGGTCACCGTATATATCACCTGACTAGGGGTAGTCCGAAAAGCAGTCGGGGCAAGTGTCCAACCAAAGGCCCATGATGCATGGTGGGGCCCTCTGCAATTCCATGTGAATCGGAGATCGACACATATCGACACAAAGCCCACATTGAGGAACCAGAACTGGCAAACTGGTAAACACCTGGATCTCTGACTCAAAACTGCAGCAACCTGTGGGCTTGGGCCCCTGCATGGGGCACCTTCCCCGCTCTATCATCTCTATCGGGATCCAGACCTTCGAGGTCATCGGTGGCCTTATAGGGCGGATGCTGGCTTTGGCCACGCTGAAGCTGCAGAGCAGCCAGGGCCAAGGCGCGACGCGCGCGCACGCGCGCGCCATGGGCAATGGCGGCTCCCTCAGACAAGCATGGAAGCCATGGTCTCCCAGGGGCCCAGGGGCCGACTTGTTCCACTGCCATAATTGTTTCAGGACGTTTCAGGGAATGTTTCTTGGTTTCTCTCATGAAATCTCACTCATATGTTTGATGTTGCTACCCCAGTTTGAGGAAAAAACAGAATTGCTCCATGACACATCATGAAACAAAAACTCCAAAACGGGAGAGAAGTAAGCGCGCGTTCTTTGCAACGTGTTCATTGTTGGACAATGTTGGACTTCATAAGACCGATGGGGAACCATTGTCTTCACGCGACGGAGAAGTCTATTATATATTTATTCATGAGTCGATCTAGATGCCCGGCCCAATCCACTGTAAGGACAACTCTAAGAGACGAAACGAAAAGGGCCTATTCAGTGGATCTTCAGGCATCTATGTATCAACGCAGGACTTTCCCGATGTGCGCATAATCAATAAGCACGCATCCGCAATCATTGAGGTGGTATGTGCATAAAAACTGTTCAATTTGGAGTGCACCGGGGATCTGTCGCTGGCTGTCACCGTTCATGGGGATCCCAGCATCGGTCCACCGCCCTAGGCTCGTTCTGGGCTGAGCCGCTGGGGGGCCCGGCCAAGCGGAGTTTGGGGTAGAAATCCATTGCCACAGTGACGATAGATCCCATAATTATCTGCATAGGGTTTCTTGCAGTACGCACCACTGCAGTCTCAACGGACTTCTTCATGACCAACTGCAGTGGCTTGGAAATTGGGATTGTGGGACATGTTAGTTATGGACGGGTGCGGAAAGATTGGGTATTCCGATGGATATGGGTCGACCAACACTGGAGCGGGGACAACCAATCGCTTGGGATGTTGAGTGATGTTGGTTATCGCACACATCAGATCTCCCATACACAGCTGGTGCAGTGCAGTGCATAGTGCATACACAGCTTAGATGCCTGCCTTGGCACAGTCAAGTCGCCCCATGGTCCCTGGTTGTCACATGGTCCATGGGAGCCCTATTTTGCCTGGTTTCCGCAATAGACATAGAAAACTATTTACACTTGAAGACTTATATTACTATTTCATACTATTTGTTTTTTTCCCTCTCTCTCTCTCTATAGATGGATTTATTTCAGAACCCGGTGCTTCCCCGCAAGTCTCCACAATCCCCCAAATCGCTGTCTCACTCGCTCTCCAGCCCAAGCTTTCCCAGGTACCGAGTGTTGTTCGACGAAGGCGGGCCAATGGGGAGAATCTCATGGCGAGCGCTCTTGGAGGGCTTAGATACTTGTAGACCTAGCACAGGCAGTTTCGGAGCTGGAATTCTTACACCCATCTCCTCAGCATCCTTCAGAATTGTAAGCTACATCACCCCTCCCAAAAGCTTTAAACACAGCTGCAACCTTCCCTAAAATCAGCCATCGGCGCCATCACCGCATCGCCGCATGACAGGCTTGTTGCCGGGCGACTCGTCCATGGTCTTCGGCACCTTGGGGCTCTTGGACCCGGGCATCGGCGCCTTGATCGGTGCCGCCGCCTTCCTGGGCGGCAGCGGCCGGGTGGGGCGCCCGGGTGTCGAGCGCGGAGATCGGTGCCGCGCGGGTGCCGCGGGGAGCAGGGAACGACTTGGGGACTTGGGGGGGTAAAGGGGATGTGAAGGAGTGCATGGGATTGGTGAAGCTTGAGGCCGTGGGTTGGTGGGTGATGGTGTGTAGCGGATGGTCTAGGAATGAGGTATCCAGCATGCTTGTGTTGAACAAGCTGATTGTAGGCATTGGGCCACGGCAGAAAATGTTGATGGAGGACCTTACATGTCCAGTTTGGGGGTCGCACCAGCTCTCGGAGAAGAGTCTAAGTAAGTGCTGGTGCTCAATGTTTGTCAGGCTTGCTGCTTGCCTCTTTCAACCCGCATGATCTGAACCATCAATTTCATCTAGATGAATTGTCCATCCCCATGGGAATATTCACTAGGAAATGGGGAGCCCCAGGTGCCCCAAATCGGGGTCTTTTTATAAACAACACAAACTTGCTCGAAAAAACTCTAAAATCTGGAGCCCCAACAAACATCAAACATTGAGCTTTTTCTAGATTTTCAATAATTGATGTCAGTCCTGATTTCATAGAAAGTGTGGACGAGTAAAGTCGATGAAATATGAGGAGGGTGGGTGCCCCCATTTTAGAGAGACCTCAATTTTATAATAGAGTCCGAGAAGTCATTATGAAGCTGAATTCCTTATTTTATAGAGAAGAGCTATGTATCAGAAACATATAAACACAATGAAAAACAATTATAGAAACAATAAAACAACAGAAATCAACAAGAAACATCAAGAAACGTAAATATGACAAAGCGCAGCCGTCGCAGCATGAGCTTCAGACTGTGGTGGAGGCGATCTATGTAAGAGAAGGATGCAAACATTTCAGAAACGGACAAGTGTGGTCAAAACATGTTGTACATTGTTACGTTGCCTGTTTACTTAAAATAAGGGTCAGGGGTAAGGCGGTAAGGCCTATTTTGGCTACTCTGGACAACTCTCGCATGTCGTTCCTGATTTCATAGAGTACATTTTTTGGAAATCTATTTTCAGCTCGAGGGTGGGTGCCCACATATTATAGGCTGTCCATTGTGGGATTCAGGCTGATTTGATCATTTTATGGATACTTTTGGTGTACCCCTGAAGTCAGTTCCCTATAAAATTGCGCTTCCTTTGCAATTCACCAGGGGATAATTTTCCTAAGTTCTGGACACTTGTTTCGAACCGACCCTCTCCGGCTGCACAGGTCACGCTCTTCACCACGATCATGATGGTGGAGATCACAGGGGATCCAGCCGCTGACACACATTCTCTCGCGCTTTGAGCGGGGGCAGCGGCGAATTCCAACCAAAACTCGAGCAGTCGACTTGATCCAGAACTTCCATGCTTGCGACCAGATTGGGGTTCCTGTGGGATAGAACCAAACAACAATCCGACCAAGCCAGATGTGTCCAATTTCCCGGGGCTCAATTGACTAGCATTCGCCAGCCTACCCTCCGATCTTGGAAGCCTCAATATGAATTCACCTCTACTCTACAAAATGAGTTTGCTCCTCTTCCACCATTGCTGAAGGGAGGTCCTTCGGGAATACTGTCACTGGTCCAGACCCCTCAGCTGTGTAGCTACTTTCAGACTGATGGATTTCTGACACAAGGGGAACTGATGAAACATTCATTTGCGCCTTTGGTTCGCTCAGGAGGTTCTACTTCCGACCTCTCGCGATAAGCCTACTTCCGACCTACACGGAAACATGGAAATGCTCAGGGAATGCTCTCTGTGCATTTGTCTTCTCAGGTGTTGGGGTGTTTCTGTGGCGTTTCTCAGCAGCTTTCCAGGGGGTGCAGCGTTCCCGCCCCGTGGGACCACGGTGCGAACGGCCCGACTCACTGGGCCGGAAAGACGGCCCAACGGCCCAACGGCCAAGTGTGCGAAGGTGCACTAGATTGAGTCTCTGAGAAGAACTGTGATTGCTAAGAATATCTAAGCCTCTAAGCACTCTCTATATCATATCTATATATAATAATTAAGCACCTTGCTGAACTTTCGCATCTGACGAAAGCCGCGTAGGCTTTCGTCCACCGAGGTGATGATTTTCCCTGTGGGCTTTGCGACCATCTTTGCCGTGCTCATGGGCAATCTGGAAGCGGTTCATTTCAATCGCGAGATTTTTCTCACAGGGCGAATGCCGGCGAACGCCGATTTCGTGAGGATCCATGAACGAACTCATTTGTCTATATACTTGGCGTGACCGAGATTTGGGCGTGTACTTCCATGAAGCTTCCATGTGGTGAAACCGAGATGGGCTGGAGCCCTTCTGCAGTGGGTCTATGGCTTCTCCGTTCACACTCGTTTTCTTTTGTCTCGAAATGAGCCCTTGGACATCATTTACTACCTGCCCTTGGACATTGGACACTTCATGGAACTTCTAAGATTCTAAGGTCTTGAAACTATATAAAATCAGGTGAGGACTAAGTTATTCTTGAACAGTTTCAATCCCCTCATTCCCCAAGCAACAAGGAACACGTAAACTGCCTACAATATCAGACATCCAGTAGAAAAAGAATCCTCGTATTTGGACACAGTTTCGGAATGCAATTATTTTATTGATTTTTTTCTAGACCACTTTTATCTGAGACCAGCTTATGCCACTGCTTCGAGCTGTGCCTCTTCACCATAAATTGGGCTAATTTGATCCCACTAGATTCCTTCAGTTCCTGGCTGGACTAAGGCAGGATTGTGAGGTAAAACCATGGGACCTCATTGTGAGGTAAAACCATGGACCTCGTGGCATTTGTAAATGTATATAACTTGATAGGTATTTGTATACCAATATGTTTTAAAGCAAGTGGAGGATACCCCCCAAAGCGGGACAATTATAAATATACATATATATATATATTATGTGATTTCGATCAAATCATGCATACATTTTAAACACGGCTGCATTCCCTTTTCACAAGTAGCAAACATGTACAACTATATTATATATAGACATATTGCTCAGATGGCTTCCCACCAAAGCCGGGGAAACAAGTTGGGCTTTTGTTAGGCTTTAGTGGGATTTGCTCGGGAAATCATGTGAAAGGGTGTGAGACGGTGTGAGAAGGATCAATAAGTCATATGAAATGGTATGAGACATGGATCAATTGTGGAGTGCCTTTCATCATTAGCGTTCATCACTGACACAGACTGACTTTGAGACGATGCTGAAAAGGACTGAGCTGAGTGAAACTTTGTGGACATCATGCTTAGACTGGTTTGGGAGAGAAGTGTTTAGTTTTGGTAGGTTTATTTAGGTAACAGCGGGATTCATCCAGCTTATGCAGGGAGCCTTGTGGGGTTCATTTTGATTCTTGTGGCCACCAGCATTCAGCAAGCATCAAGCGAAGCGGTATCAGTATTTTTTGGGTGTATCTTTGACACTGGTCTGAAATCGGCATATCCAAGGCAACATGATCAACCACGGCCTTTATCACTCCCTCATCGATGTGCCCTGACAGCATTGAAACTGCAGATTGGTGCACGGCCTGACCGTTGGAGGAAAGATCAGGCGCCTTACATCCCACACGCACACACACAGCACCATTAAGAAGGAACGGGTGCTGATTCTTTATAAACGCAGGGGGTGCATCCGTCAATTCAGGTCCTGTATGAAAGGCCCTAAGGCTGCACACATCCTTATGCAAGAGAAGGCAATCTCTGGAAGGTGTTTGCATGATTACACCCTGGAAGACTAACATGGAACCTGAAAACTCCTGGTTGGTAGAGGAAAATCGTCTTCCATGGGACCAGGACGGGCCCGGCTCTATGTTAGTGTGGAGTGTCAAGCGACCGAGTTCTCTCCGAGTCTGAGGTGCAGTCCACCCCATACTTGCCAGACACATGGCAAGCTGATCAGCTACCTCCAGGAATCCTGGCAGGAGCCTCAGATCTTCAGCCCGGCACGCTTCCCGGAGCCCCAAATCGACCCGGCATGCCGACCACACCGACCCGGCGGGTACTGCGGGACATGACATGGCGCGCCAGGTCCGAGATATGAGACCTCAAAACCCGCCCATCATGGTCTCCTTGAAGCGGGGGCGTGAGGGCATCAAGAAAGCTCTCAAAGGACTGGTGGAAGGAATCTGGTGTCATGTGACTCGGTGTATCCCGCAGGGCCGGGGGGCAGAGGAGTCGAAGGAAACCGAGGAGTCGAAGGTAGAGGTGAGTAGAGAGGTTCGAACAGGTTTGGGGATGAGACGTGATTAATAGAATCCATAGGGCCATAGGGGGGAAGGTATTTGTAGTGTTTGCTTGGCCTAGCCACTGCAGAATGTTCTGTGAACATGTGAGTAGGGGAGCTGTGAAATGTACTGGCATAGTGGTTGCATGCGATATCATGTGGCCCCCGGAATGAAGGATACGCGTACAATGCCTCGTGCTCCATTTCGATGCAAGGAATCTTAACAGATATTATGCTATATATCCTCGTGCCAATTTCCACTACCAAATGGGTGGCCTCAAGGCCACTACAAAACCCAAAAACGGTGCATTTTGTATAAAATGACATTTTGCATGTCCCATTGCGTTCTTTAGTAAGATGCTGTGAAATGCACCCCCAGACGTCAGGCAGAACATTTTGTAGAGGGATGTTGCCGGGCATTTTTTGGGGATAACTCTGAACCTCAGGCAATTCATTTTTTTGTACAGAGCCACTTGATCACAAAGAGAGGTTGGGCCTTTCATTTTGTAGAGATTGACTTGAATATGCAGCCAAACTTTTGGCTTGAAAAGCGAACTGAGGGGCATGCTAGATGTACCGGCATAGATCTAAATCCAGGAAAATACTACAGTGTTGTCCTATCAGCATGCCCGCTGCTGTACCGCCGGGACTTTTTGTAGTGAGCGTTTTTTGGCGCTTGCTGAGGGGCATGCTTGAGGTTGTGCAATACATTTTGTAATAGCTCTAAATCCCATACAGTATGTGTTTTTTCATATAGAATGGTTGGGGCCCTTGATTTTGTAGTGCACCATAAATCCATAGGTCATTTTGTAGCGCTGTGTTTTTGCATGGTGCTTTCCATTTTGTAGCAAAAGAGGTTGCGCAAACCGCTCTGTACTACAAAATGTATTGTCCAAGGCCACCTGGTAAATTGCAAAGAAGATTGCTATATTATAATGTATGTTTTTGAATGTTTAAATATGTTCATGATAGACGCATATTATCAAGCGGGGTGGATTGATCCATATTATAAGTCGGTCATGGTCGGACAGTTTTCTTATCATAGCTTCATAACCGTGTCAGATGTGTGGTGGTCGCAGGCGTTTTTCTCCGCAGGAAATGACTTCACGGGGTTCCCGCTGGTGGATGAGATCGAAGTGTTGAGGGATGCAAAGCCAGACAACACCGATGATGACTTTGATGGCAACCACGTGGTGGTCGCAAGCTCAGAGAGGGTGAGCTGATTTTTAGGTCGGGCGGGGCGCTGACAGGATTTCAGGTTGGTTCCCTCATAGTTGAACATGAAATACTAATATATACATTGCATAGGGCACGCCAGCCGGGAAGATTGAGTGACCAAGTGGGGGCAAGCGAGGCAAGTGGCAGCTACGAATTTCATACAAGTACTTAAGTAGATATATATTTAATTTATTTCATATTTTGAATAGTGTGTATTATATTACTGTATTGTATATATTTTATCTATAGTTCTTTTTGGTTGGTGGGTTTGACAGGCTAAGGACGAGCGCTTTTCTTAAGGCTCTCCCCAGTGGCCTGCTGTGTTCGCAATTATGCCCACGGAAAACGCTTGCTGTTTGTGGTCAGTGGTGACATACACCTCATTGCCATTGATGCTTCCACAACAGGGCTATCGTTTTTTTCTGCCACACTGCTATCGTTTTCGGAACATTGTCATCGCGACGCCGTTGTCGTTGGAGGGCAGCATCAGCAGGCGCACAGCATTGTCATCGTTTGCGCAACATTGTCGGTCAACATTGCTATGTTTCCCACAACATGGTCATCGGTGGCGCACTACAGACACTGTAAACCAGAATGTGTGGGGTTCCCCACAGCTTGGATATAATGCTTGGCTCAACAAGCTAGGCTGTGAACAAGACATCTGACATCTGGTAGCAAAGACCAAGCAGTCTCTGGGTGTGAGAGCAGTCTCTGGGTGTCATCCGAAACCCGGATGGTTTTGGCATGTGAAACGTTCTGGCCATTGAGGGAATCTTCCTCATTTCCGCTCGTCCGAATCCCATCGGAGTGTTCCTGCTTGTTGCCAAGTGTTTGGTGCAACGATATATACTATATACAACCGGACCAGCTACCTATCAGCCCGCATTAAAGATCCCGCTTTTGATTCTACAGCTGATCTGTTCCTGCGACTAGGGTTCCTCTTCGCGAGGACTTCATTACTCCATGCTATTTTTTGCTTCTGAGACGGAGGCTGCCCTACATTTTTGAGATTTGGGTTCCGTATTTTGTTTGGATCATGCCTTCCTTGAAAACAGCGACACCCCTTGGCCCCGTTGGCCGCCTTCGCAAGCGAGCGTTCTCGTTCTCACGCTTGAGGTCGTGGGCATGTGTGACCGCAAGGACTTAGAGGCACACACCCAGAGGAATTGTTTGATTTTGAGGTCAGGTAGGGCCCTTCTGCTGCGCACATCTGCGCACTGAATGCTCAGTGTTTTGGTTTTGAGGTTCGTATATAGTATATGCGAGATCTTTTACTTGGGCTTTTGACAACATTTCAATGACCCTTCAAACATGTGGAAAAGCACCATGTCTCTTCTCAGACATTTGCTTTTGGAGTTTTTCACTTGTTAAACAATCAACCTGGACGATTCACCAAACTTTTTCGGGATGTTGAGATGTGTTCAAAAAGGGTTCCAAGGTCTTTTTGTGCCTCATCCACAAGGCCCGCTCCAAAAAGGAATGGTGTAGAAACGAAACTGTATCAGAGGGGTTCGCATTTCGAACTGGGGCTGATGATGTTCCGATACTGCATAGTGGTCCCCAGATAGATGCATTTTAGTTATAGGATCTACTTTTCTATATATTGGGAGTCTATATATATGTAGAAAAAATGTCATTTAGATCTCCACGGTTTCGATGGACCCCTTCCACTCTCCAGTGACGAGCTGCATTGACCAGTCTGCCGTCTCAGGAGCTACTGGAATCGGAAGATGAGATCACGGCGGAAAGGTCCCCTGGAGCTCAGCTCTTCTCGAATGCATGGTGAAGATGGTGAGTGCTCAATCAAGTTCAATCATGTCGTGCATGGTGTGACTCTGTTGGGGGGGAAGTGTTTGTGGAAGCATAGGCTGAGAGTGGTTTTGTTTTTAACAGAGGGGTTTTCAGCCACTGAAGTATGAATGACACCAGCACCTCAACAAATACTCGGTGCATGACGAGAACCAAAAACGATCCTTCTTGGCCAATGCCGCCAGGTTGAAGCAGTGCTCCAACCTGTATCCAGCCAGAACCTAAGTGATGGGGGGGTCGTGGCTGCAATGTGGTGAAGATTGCAAACAAAAGCCTAAAAGGACTGGGATCAAACTTGGCCCCAAATCAATGCTTTGGATAAGGCCACAGCCCATGTCGCATTCCAAGCTTTTTTTGGCCGCTGCTCACGTCCTCATGACAATTCTTATGCACCTGGCCAAATATCCATCACAGCACCCCCCAAAATCTCGTGCGGCTGCCAGCCACGTGCTGGGGGGTGGCGAACAACGTGTTCTCACGAGTTTTGCCAGGTCACGGTGCGAGACAACTTCCCTTTGCAAAGTGCCTACCAGCTCTTCAAGAGCATGGACAGCTGGGAGCCGCTGGGAGTTTGGCGCTGAACGGATTGTACTGGCATCACAGATGCCAAAGTAGGGTCTGAGTGCCAACGAAGCCACAACTCCATTTCACTTGAAGTGGTGGACCGTTTCCGTAGATAGGAGTTGGGGACTCCTCTCTTGGCTTGTCGTTTTCCAGCACCCCCCATAGCAGCGAAACCAGGAGTGCTTCCAGCTTGCTGGGCTCCCCAAACACCCCAAACACTTGTCCAGGACATGAAGAACTTGGTCGTCGTGGACGATAACCACCGACCCGTGGCGGCCGGACGGGTCGGACCTGGTGGGATTCCACCGGATGCGGACGTTCGTGCCTGGATCCGGAACACGGAGGTCGTGTGACCGCTGAACAGGAGGAGGATGGTCCACGAAAGAGGAGGTCGACGGGCTGTTTGTGCTCACGAAAGGAGTCACAAAACAGAGGATGGTCTATGATTTTCTTACGTGGTAGGCAGAGATGATGGCTTCCAGAGAGCTTTCTAGGTGAGGCTTTTGGAACGCATGGGCCAGCAATGTTGTGGCCCCCAGGCGGAGGCGTGTAGGATCTTGAGAGCTTTTGAACCCCCATGACACACTTACATATATATATATATATTTAGCTATATATACATCTATTATATACATGTATTTTGCATATGTACCCACATCAATGCAGATCTAACTATGTGCTTTTTGGTCTTATCGCCTACCATCCGCATGTAGACACGCAAGCCCCACACATGTTCGGCCAACACTGCTGGCCACCGGTATTTGAGTAAAGAGTTTGGATGGATTGGATGGACCCCGGCTCTTCATTCCTCCGCACATGCACGTCCCCCCGGGCTCTTTCCAAGCGTTCAACCCCAGGCTTTTCGATCGCCCACGGGTGCAGCTGTTCGCCGTGGGCCGGTCGTGCCGTTGGCGAAGCGAACGGCGCAGGTCATGACACGCTTCGCCTTCCTGGCCTGGCGCGTCGCGGAGAGGCCGAACGCGCGACGGGAGTCGGGGAGCGGCAAGGAGGTGAGGCAGCGTGCCATTCCGATGTGAAGTGTTTTGTTTGTTTTACTAGTCGCAAGCTACTGGTAAATGAAGTCCAGGATTAATATCCCTGTTACAGGCCAACAAAATGGGCGTGCTTAAGCACTATTTTATAATATATTACTACATAAACAATGTGACTTTTGGACAATTTGGGTGTATTATGAGCAAACGATGTCAACATTCAAACAACATGCTTGGTTGTGCGTGCTAACCTCTTGAGATCTCTTGAGACCTAGCCTTAACCTATCATGTTATATTATCTTAAAACACCATTAAAATTATGAAACACTAATTTCATTGACCGTCACGGCATTTTTTGAAGTAAGTCTCATTGATTTTCAGACCCGTTTTATAGTACTTTTATTAGCTCTTTTCTAGAACGTCTTTTTGCTGGACACATATTTGACCTTTTGCAACCCATTTTAGATGGTCAATTTTTGACTACAATGAGCATGTTTAACCTCTCTTCTAAGTAGCAACAGGGATGGATTAACAAGGAATCCAGGAGTAGATGGCACCTGGTGTCCAAGATGCTTGATATGTTTGGATTGGGGACATGTTTGCCTCATATTGCACCTGTTGGGCTTTAAAACGACAGGTCACCATCCACTCGCCCAATCGCGAACTCCTTTTGTCCAAAAGACGCTGGCTTCCATGGTGGTTTTGGTACAGGGACCAGGCTCGGAAAGATTGCGAGCACTTTTGTGAATGATTGTGAAGGGATTACCACGACTTGACGTTTCACTGCTTTTCCCTCTCAGGATTGAAAGAACCATTCAACCATTCATTGTATGATCCAGTAGGGAAGACTTCTCAGCTCGAGCCGTGAGCCAACATGGAACAAATGCAGCCGAGTTTTTTGATGTTACTACACAAACCAGGCATAATTCATTTCTCTCCCGTGGGTCCACATGAAGGTAGCTAGTATATGGTAGTATCTATTGATCTATCCCAAACATGGTAATCCACCATAATCCACCGCTTACATCCACTGATTTATACCTTCTGCGAGAAGGTGGTGGGACTTTGCAGCCATTTTTGGGGTCCAACGTGCCCATGCTTGACATGTGGCAGACCGGCCGCTAGGCTGCCGGCAGACCGGCTCGAAGAACTTCAGAAGCGGGAGAGACAGAGGCCCCGCATGCAGTAATGAGCAGTGAGTGGTCGGAGACAGAGGCAGGCTCACTTCCTGAACCAATGAGTCACATGGAAGAAGAAGAAGAAGAAGAAGAAG